CGGTCACCTGTTTTTCCTCCGTCTTTACAGCAATATGCTTTAGTGTGATATGTAGACAATTGGCATAAGCATCACGTGACAGGCATATAAATAAATTAAAGTTTATCATAAAAACTTCTGTATTGGCTGAAACGTTTGGTGTCAGGTGTTTATGAGATGAACGTACTCTCAAGTAAACATTTCACCGGTTCACATGAGCAGCTGCTGTGTAAGGCTGGTTGTAAAATGCTGGTCATTGGTTCATAAGTGGAACACGGTAACTTGTGTACCAACATTTTCTGAGTTATTGTTCTGACTTGAGGTGGAGTTATGTGAATCTCCCCAGCTGGGAACTCATTTTTCTGATTACTCAGACAGTGGTGAATGCACTGACAGTTTCATACTGCTGCTTTGGGCCTGAGCTGTGACAAAGTGAAACAGAGACACGCGTGGGCTGATCACTGTGGGCTGCGGCAGGGTGTGGGTTGGTGTGAACCGCTCTGTGTTGATGGCTCCAGAGGCTCATCACAACTATAAATGTTCCACAATAGCAGCACAATAAGACCAAATCACCGGTGACCTGTCTGCTTCCTCTTAGACTGAAATTAATTTGAAGTTAGTAACTTATTTAAAACATGATTGCTAAGTCACAGTCACCAAATAGTTTTGTTTAGTCGTGGCTGCATCAATGTGATGTAACCTCATGCTCATACTTGGCCACACCTTTCTATTGGAACACTCAACACCGGTGTTTTGCCATTTGAGTAGTGAGTCCTGTTTGCATTGACACACAACTTACTTGGCTTCGATTCAGGTGCTGTGTCATTTACTGTACCGACAGACAAGAACATGTAGATGTTTATCGATCTACCACATCCAAAATAAGTCATGAATCATGAATGTGCCATAAACCTGATACCATATAATCAGTATGTGATAGTACCTTTTGAACTGTGCTTCACAAAGACAGGGGTGACAGATGTTGATGTTTTGGTGAAATATCTTTATTTAATTCCACGTGATAGGTCTACACTTGTGTTTCATTAACTCTCCTTTTTATACATCAGATAGTAATAGTACATTATTCACACAAACGTTGCTAAACACGAGTAGACAGCATATTTCAAATGGACAGACACAATTCAGAAGAGCACAAAGCTGAGTATTTAATCAGTGACGAAGTAATAGAAGAGCTGCTCATGTTAAAATGGTTGTTTAATGTAATTAATTAATTTTTAAATCCATTTTTAAAATGCCGACATCTCAAAACAAGCTACAGCAAAACGACCAGTGTCTTTTGTTGTGCTATGACCAGTTAGTTGTTTGTGTTGTGTGTGAGTGTGTGTGTGAGTGTGTGTGTGCCTGGAGACGGTGCCGCCTCTACCTGCGACTGTAAACCAAACTACTGACTACACAAACATGTGATTCTTTGCAGCGTGACGAAAAACGAAACATTACCAGGCCTCAATGTCGTCTTTAGGTGGGGTCGCAGCAGACACGCAAAAATATAAATAAAATAAACTTTGTCCATGCGTGTCAGCACTTTTGGTCGAGCGTACAATGTTATCTTTATGTCCAAGTTACAAAATAAATAAACACAAAAACCCAACAGTCTTGCACAGGCAATAGCAATACAGCAAAAAGGTTACTGCGACTAACTTTCTCTGCACTTTTTACAGCAAGGTTGTCAGTAAGCGTCGGCTGAATCTGAGGACAAACTCTCTATCTACCAGCTCTACAAAACAACATGTGAAGCCATGAACCAGTCAGCAGGCTTCTTTTATATTGTACAATATTGTGGCTTGATTCAGTGCACAACGTTGGTGAACAAACAAGCAAGGCATCTGTGTTCTTATCCATATAAATCCTGCATGGTGAGCATGCTGCATGTTCTTGCAATAGTGTAATCGACAACACAAATGATCAATGAGATGGTGGGTATGTCATTACCTACAAAGTGAAAACTGAACACTGGCTCTTTTTTTTATTTTTATTTTTTCAAACCTTGGGGGCATCTAATGACTGAAAACTCAGCCGTGTTAGTATGCGTGTAGCCTATTTAACATAGGAAAGGCCGTCGCTGTAGTTTTAAAGCAGATAATTGAAAGTTAGTAGCCATTCTAATGAGTTTGGGATGGATTGCCTTTAAAATAAAAATTTATATAACTTGGTTACACATCCCTTTTACAGCCACCTTTTAAATATGGCCTCAAATCATACAAATTTGGTCTGCTAACATGCCGTTTTATTAGTCAGTATAAGCTAACAGATATTTTAGATATAAATGATAGCTAATGAATGGACCATTAACCCTCTTCAATCAAGAGGGTTCATTTAAGCCAAGTGTGGTAACATGATGATTAACAATGACGTTATTTCACCGGTAAGATCCTGTCTCTTCTTCCTCAAAATAAGACAAAGTATAAAAAAAGATATCTGAGACATATAGTATCTCAGATAATTAAATCAAAAAAAGTTAAATACAACGGGCTGATAACTCAACCTTGCAGAGTCATTAAAATAACCCCAAGCAGTTTTACTTTACAACAATGACAAGAGTAACAGCACTAAGATTCGGAACTGTGCAATAACTCATGAGCGGTTAGCTATGACGGCCGGCTGTCCTATATAATGCCATGCAACTGGATGAAAATCTCAACATATCATTTAACTTATTCCTTGTTTTAAACGTTTACTTTTGAAACACTTTTTTCCCCGGATAATCTGCTTCAATACAGTAATGCACATCCACACGGATACTCTGAAAAGTCACTGAGTTGAAAAGGGAAAAAAAGACAGGTCCTCCATCCCAATGGCAATGAGCCATGGGTGGGGAGAGTGGCCACTGAGAGACAAGCTGTTGGTGGGGAGGACACAGGCGGGTTGGGGGTGAGGTGTACTAGCATGAGCAGCTGCTCTCGGTGACAGTCATCTCTGGCTGTTTCTCCAGTTTGATGTCGATCACTGAGACGACTTGGTTAAGCAATATATCAGATGAATGTGCAAATTTCACTTCAACATTTTCTGCAGCGCTATCAAGTTGCAATCTTAACTGAATATTCTTTCTGCTCTGCACAGGAAACTAAGAGTCACTTCTTTAAAAAGGATACTGTCCTCTTTGCTTTTCTCTGGTGTGCTATCCATCCCTGGCAATGCGGCAGCAACACGACGGAACAGCTGCAAAACAAAGATAATACAGTTGAGATGGGATATAAAGTAAAATGCTTTCAAATAGGGGTGGATGATATGCTTCAAATCTATTATGCAGCATGCAAATTCATTATTTGATAGCTTGATGTTACGTCCCCATAGTAAGTTTCCTGTAATTTTCAAATATAACATAACCCCCACTTTTAGTACAGAAAATGTTTTTGATTTACAATATATATCATATCAACCAGCCCTACTGTCAATATCAATCTACATGGTACAGACAGAGAGTGGTCACTCCTAAATCATGTTTTATTTTATCACAGGTAAGACACAAACACAAGAAGCAGTTGAAGCAGTGACACAAATTGTAACTGACATTGCTGAGGTGAAATAAGAGCATGAAAGTGAAGGTTGCCGTGCCAACATCCTCCACAGACCAAATCCATTACATTCACAGAAACATTCTTAAAGCTGCAGAATTTGCAGTGAATCAGACAAAAATATAAGTTCAAAAGAGATCAAAACTGAGAGAAGCAGTAAACTTGTGCAGAACGAGTGAACCGATAAGCCTGTGGAGGGAAAACACATCTGACACTGAGAATGCTAAGACGACGTCATGATGCCATTGGAGGGGAAAAAGGAGGCGGAAGGAGTTAAGTGTAGACTTTGTGGTCAGAATCAGCTCAATTACCCTGAGAGAGCAGAATCTCTACCTGTTTGACATTGTAGCCAGTCTTTGCGCTGGTTTCAATGAACATGACATTCAGTTCCTTAGCTCTCTGCTCGCCCTCCTCCGTGGTGATCTGTCTGCTCAGGTAAAAGCAGAAGGGGGGAAGATGGACGGATAGACAGATGTGGAAAGAAACATTGTCAAGAGGACAGGCCAAGAGGAGATGGATGAGAGAGAGAAACAAAGAGAGCTCAGCACAGGATCTTGTTTTGGGTGAAAAAGAGAGAGGTTAGTTTAGTTCTAACACAGACAGATACAGAGGAAGACGAAGGAAGATGAGGCAGCAGCCAATCCAACCCCGAGGTCACTCATTCATCCATTCACCAGCCACTGATCCATATAATGAATACATGGAGGAGATGTCACAGCTGCACCTCCCTGACCTACAGAACGTTATGACCTGTGCTGGAAACTTGTCAGTATTACACCTGCTGCTGTTGCTAGACACCAACCTGTTTGACGTTATAGCCAGCCTTGGCACTGGTCTCTATGTACATCACATTGAGCTCACGAGCTTTCCTCTCTGCCGCCTCAACAGAAACTTGCCTGCCATGGTCCCCGGGAAGGGAGGGGGAGGGAGTGGTGTTCAGTGTGGTGTTGAGGGGAAACACACAAAAAAATAAAAATCAAGATGACATGGAGAGAACAGACCAGGAAAGAGAACAAAAAACATAATGCAAAGGAGAAAAAAAAAGCTGAAATAAGATCAAAATTATGTGAAATAAAAATATGAAGAAAAGTACTTAAAGTCACTGAAGTATGCAAAAGTACAGAAGGATGATAAAAGTCAAAATTGGATGAGATGCACTGAAGGGAAGAAAAGTGGGATTCCAGGCATTGGCAGAGTTTATATACTAAAATACTTGATGCTACCTATTTTCTTATCCTCAAAGAATTATAAAATGAATATCTAAATATCAATCTTTGTAAACGTAATGAGTAAATAAGAATCATTCATACATCTCACACAACCTTGTACCTTTTATCCGCCAAGTCTGTTTTGTTCCCAACAAGCATGATAATGACATCACTTCCTCTCTCTGTTCTAACATCGTCGATCCACTTTGAGGTTTGCTGGAATGAATTTAGATCTGTGAATGCAAAAACACAAAATTATTGTACATCACAAATCTGTGTAGCCCCGCAAAAAATAGAACATTTGATATATTAGTTTTAGTTAAAAGTGTGCACAAGCAATTAGAAGTCTCCATTAAACATCAAAGCATCTTGTGTAAGAGAAGCTCAAAGAGATATGTTAGTAAGCAAAAGGATCAGGAGAGAAGATTGAAAAAGAAATACTTAGACATTTTGAAGGTTATTGGCAGGAACACATAACATATAAACCATGCCAATATTGCATCATCTAGCTAAAGACACCGACTGAAAGAGCACAGCCCTGACTCACTGGTGATGTCATAAACAACCACAGCAATGGTAGAGTCACGGATGTAGCTGGGAATTAGGCTACGAAAACGCTCCTGTCCAGCAGTGTCCCAAAGCTGGAGCCGGACCTGAGGATTGGAACGGAAGATAAGAGAAGGACAAGGAGGTGGAGATAAAGAGAGGAAAGGCAGGACAAGGAAACAGAAAATGGGACAGACATAAAAGAACTGCAAGCCAAGCGGTGGAGATGAAAATGGTGTTTTATGGCGGAATGGCGAGTCACTCAAATGCGGCGGGGTCATAGATGACCAGGGTTATGCAAATAAGACATGTAAAAAGAGGCCATGCCGAGTCATTGTTGAGGCTGATTCAGAGGATATTTTCCATTATTCATTTCTTTCCAACAACCTCGTATGTGACAGCATTTAGAAAGCACAGACCCCCCTGGACACTGCTGAAGAAAACAGCATCATCATGGCTGATACAGTCAGGAGTATATCATCATTTTACTGTCCAGTGGGGTTTGTCAGACTAGCAAATGCTCTTCTATGCCTTCTCATACATTAAGTGAGGGACAAGGAGGTGAGGCTCTGATACCTACTGGCTATATCATAAACCACCACAGCAGCAGCTGAGTCGCGGATGTAACTGGGGATGAGGCTGCGGAAGCGTTCCTGTCCGGCTGTGTCCCAGAGCTGCAGCCGAATCTGTGGCCAGTCTCAAAATGAATGTGGCAATTGGGAGTGGGCGCGAGGGAGATTTCATGACCCAGCCAGGGGATGGAAGGAAAACAAAAACTTGAATGAAAATGAAAACAATGGGAACTAAAAACATGATCACATGTGTAACAAAATGAATGGTCAAATCTAGGATAATGTCAAAACACAATGTGAAATGGTGAAAGGGAAATACATGGTGGCTACTGCATATAAAGCAGATGAAAGTTTTCAAGCTGGTTTAAAACTATGGTAATGGTAATGATGAGAATTACAAGAAAACACAAAGCTTACCGTGCGATCTTCTAGGTACATGGTTTTTGACAAAAAGTCAATGCCAATTGTTGCCTGTAATAAAATAATTCCATTAAATCATTATTACATTTAATACACTTGGATAATACAACTGTTTTGTAAACATTATGTACAGACAAATAAGAAAGAACTAAAGGATCATGGAAAAATCATCTCTAAATCAGGTTCAGGGCCGGATTGTAAAATAAAAACTTTCAATCAAATCACAATTTTGATTTAATATACTAAAATGTAAAATTCCAAAATTAATCTTTATATTTGATGCTTTTCTCTCTATACAAGCACATCTAAGCTAAATATCATGCAAATATAACCATAACATGTAGACCCAAACATCTATAGAGCTATATTTATCATATTTTTATGGTTTTGCCTTGGCCAAGGAAAACAAGTCTTTGGTCCAAATGTTATTGTGTTAAAAATAAACCTTTAATGTGGAATTTACACAACAATTATATTTATCTGATGTAACTGAATCATCTATAATCATAAATTAATCAATCCCGAACACTGAGAATGAATTGGGAGGGCAGTGCTGATATCTACAAGTCACAACCTCTCTTATGATAGAGGGCTTTTAATCCATTTACATTAATCATACCATGTCATATTGTGCAGAACCTATATCTTTACCTGATAGGTGTTGTCGAAGCTGTCATACATAAACCTGGTGATGAGCGAGGTCTTCCCAACTGTGCAAACACAATGACAGGCAACTTTAAAAAAAAAATCTAATATTCACAGTTCAGTTAAATGTACTGTCTAGAACAAACACCCACATGCACCCACACTGATTTTGTAACAGAGGGAGAGAGAGAGAGGAAAATCAACATGACTCAGTGACGTGGTGAGTTCATTCACTGTTGTACTGTGGACGCTGAACCCACACGCTGAGCTGGCAGTATGGGTGGAGCCACACAAATATGGAAAAAGAAAAGAGCTTCACTTCTCTCATGTGTTTCGACATTAAAGTAGCGTCCCCGCCATGTTACACACAACCCTACAACACTACCACGATTAGCTGATGTGGGTTTAAGTCCCTGTGAACTAGTGACAAATGTTCCGGGGGGGGGGAAGGCCGACTGGTCTGGACCCACCGGCCGACGTGGCTCTGCAAGGTGCCTCCGTCCGGTGCTAACAGCTAGTGAGTTGAACTGCGCTACACTGGCGACGAGGATAAGCTCGATTCCCTTCACCTTCAATGAGACGCCTTGTGTAGAAAACAAACCCACCAGTTACAACAATTTTGCGGTTTCAATTACGCAGCGAACGACAATATAAGCGACAGTCGGCGTCTTGAAGCTTGACACGGCTAACTGCTAGCTAAAAGTAGTTAGCCGGCTACATTTGCGTCAGTGGGATGAAGTCGGTGCATCACAGGCTGGTGGCCCGACTGAGGACCGTGTGCTTTTATTTAAAGTGACAACGAAACAACGTGAAGATAAAGTGGAAATTGTATAAAACGTCAATATTACTCGTTGTGGCCATTCATCGAAAAGACGAAAAGCACGGTGTTTGACTAGCTTAACATTTTACTACTAGCTAGCTTAGCAATGACATCATCCCCAACGAGAGGAAACGTAATGTCCACAGTAACTATGTCACCGTCCACTGTCGTAAACACGTCGTTCAGACCGAAGTGTCATCATCTACTTTTGCGTGTTTGAACGTTTGGCTTCGGCCTCAGAGAGAGCTAGCTGCTAGCTAACCCGGAGAAGCTAGTTAGCCCATCTTAGCCACTTCTCCAAACACTCTCCTCACATCCCGGCGACACTTCGGGTGCTTCGTCCCCCGACTCACCGCTCTGTTCGCCCAGAAAGACGAGCTTGAACTTTCGTAGAGGGTTGCCGAACTCCCCGCCGCCGGTCGTGGTTGACATTTTGGCAAAAAAAATAAACAGCTACTCTGCTAGCCTGGCTAACGATGCGTCCGGAGCGGAGAGGAGCGAATAGTGTATCTTTCTCCTGCTCAGGGCAGCGCTATTGTTTTCTTCCACAAGCAAGAGGGAAACAGCGCCACCAAGAGGCCACAGCCGAAAGATATAAACAACTAGCAAGGTACAGTCTCATTTTATGTCAAACTATGGAGCATGATTTATTTATTTAGCTTGATATTTCCACAGTTTTTAGCCAGAATCAAAGAGTAAATATTGGCTCATATTGTGGTGCTGGAGTTTTACTTTGGCCCAGTGAGATCACTCAGATTTAGCTGCAGAGCTTTTACTAGAATTTGTGCAAGATGGCGTGTGTAGTGTCTGTTTATAAAAGATGTAGAGGCAAAAAGAAAGGCTATAGAGATGCATAACTGATAGAGCTCTAGGTGGACTGTAATGATGCGTCCAGGATCATGCTCAAGCGTCCAACATGGACAAGTAGCCACATGTTTTTTCATTCTACACTACACTAACTTGTCTATATGCATTTCATTATTTGTTGACTGTATTTCTATCATTTTCCCCTATTTCATCATTTATTAATTTTATGTTTTATTTAAAAATGGATCGATGAGTCTGAAATGAAATTTAACTAAAAAGCAAGGAACAGATGGAGAGGAAACCTCTCTAAATCAGTGAAAAACTCACATTCACATTATTGTTAGGCTATGATTCACAGGAGGCTAAAAACTTGGTGCAACTTTTCAGAGCAATGCCTGTGTTTCCCTGAGTGTATGTGCCTCATCCCAACAAAAATTATATACATTGGGCCTGTGTATGGAAAAGAACCATTTTATGAGAAATGTATGTTTTAGTTTTAATTATGCTTTCACTTTTGTTCATGAAATTATTAAACAGTATATATTTTCTAACAAATCCCTTTGTTGATGCACTGCAGTTCTCAGTGTCACTAAATATAAGACTTGGCATAAAATGACTGAGTGAAATGGAGAAAGATAAGCGACTACTTGAGGGAAACAATGTGTTTATTTCCTTCTCTCTTCTATAAAGAGTGATACAAGTAAAAGTATTTGTGGGGTATTTGTCCCAGGGCTGCAAATTCAGTAAAAATAATTCATGGCTCTAATAATACAGCAATAAACATCAACAATAAATCGATCTCTGCACCGTCAGTATCCATGACACATTGAGGGAAAAGTCTAATATCTATGCTATGGGACATTTCCTCTCAAAAAAGAAAAAAAAAGTACAACACATGTTTAATTCTATGCTACAATCGCATTCAGCGCAATGTCACACAGAGTTTAGACTCCTTTTCAGTTGATAGAGTGCTCCTAATTGACATGTTCATGTGCCAGGGAAATAAGTAATTCTCTTCTTTGGTGTTGAGTTCCTTGTGTTCTGACAGAGAAGTGATTTTCCTTGTTGGTCATCTCATACCTTTACGGACTCGATTGTGATGTCTGTCCTGCTGGCAAGAAACAATCGATTATGTAGGTCCAACATTACACCATCTACTTTTATATGTAGCTAAGGGAAAAGCAGGTCACATTGTGCAAAATTAGCTTTTGCATATTGATATTGTTGACTATATATCAAATGCAAATATAGTACTAGCTATTAAGTAGTATACATGCTGCTATTAGAAGCTACTGGAGAAGTATCTTAATCATCCAAATTGAATATTTCACAGTTTAATGGGATCATAAGGTGAAACAGTTCACTCATTCAAGGGCCATCACATCTAACAGTCTGTTGATTGTATTGACGATATGTGTCATGAGCTGGATCTAAAATCAGGGCCATCGCGTCTCACAATCTGTTGACTGTATTGACAAAAGTGTTTAAATCAAGTAGATGTTTCATAGAGATGAGTCACGTTGTGGCCCTTGAAAAAATCAACACTGTAAAACGCTCTGAATCTGAGGTGACCTCACCTGAACTAAAGAGGCCGTTAATCCAATTTGCTGTTGTTCATAAAACAAAAACAAACACAGAGGAGAGATGTATCAGCAGCATGTCACAAACATCAAGGCTACAGGTGAATACATTTGTTTTCTCAGTGACTTGTATACTTACACTTCTGCTCATTAGACAGCGATGACATGCAATGAATGGATAAAAAGGGAAGACATAATAAAAACATATCAATCAGATTAATTAGAGTAAGAGTTCGAGTGAAGTTTCTTTGGTTAAAATACTGCACTCACCTGCTGGTTTTGGGGACATCAGACACAGAGGAAGCTCCACAGTGACATCGCTGAAAATTAAACGATAAAAAGTACAATCATTAATATATTCTTCACTTAAATAAAACATTATCACAAATGAAGTCAAATCGGTATCTACCTTGCTGTTAGGCCACCCAGCAGGCTTTGGTGAGAGAGAATAATATTAAATTAATCATCAGTGGACACCATTTTACATAATATGTATGTGAATGAATATGTGTTTATTCAGTTAAAACGTACCCTCCGCCGGACACCATCAGATTCACCCTGACTTTGTAGGAGACAATGATTCCCTGCATCTCCTTATCTCCTTGACTCCTGCGAGGTGACAGGAATAGTTAACGTTTTAGAGCTTGAGGATTAGACATGATAAGTGGATGACCATGGTGGAGTTGTATCCCCTCCACTCAATAAGAGGATGAAAACCTGTCGGGGGCTCACTGTAAGCCCTTTCACGACGGTGACTTACAGGGTGGTGGAGGCGAGGTTGGTGTCCTCGTCTTTTAGCCGCCCGTCCACTGCGATACCGCGCTTCTCCGTGTTGCTGGCCAGCAGGGGGGTGATCTGGAAGGACTTCTCCAGTGTAGAGTTGGAGTTAACTGTCTCTCTGTGTAAAGCAGTGAATGCATGTTTAACTTAAAAGTCATTATTTGCATGGGTTTACTTTTTTCTTAAACCATATTTTTAAATGTAATATAAAAATGACAAATGCTTTTCCCCTCAGTAATAGCAGTACGCACAATTTAGGGATATGTGGATGTGAGAATAATTTTAAAGGAATACATTTTCTTAAATTGATCAAAGTAAACCTGGAGTTTTGCTAATCTGATACAAAGAGAGCCTCACCCAAACTCCTCAGTAGAAATTGCCTTGGTGTAAGTGTCAGATGAGTAGAGGACCACATTCGTTAGCTGCTCAACTAAAAAGAATGAAAAACAGTTCTGCATTACTACAAACTCTGTGACTTGAACATATATACTTTACATATGCACTCATATTCTCTCTCTTTCTTCTGAACTACACAAACACAATTCAGTAAAAATTCAACTCCAGTCGAGTTTAAATTTCTTTCCTTGCTACTCACCTGAGACTTTGATTTTCTTCACAACCTTAGTGGTTTCGTTGTTGATTTTTACTTTGATGGTGATTGGATCTCCATGGTAATACAGCTAAAAAGAGAAAGGATGTCATTTAGAATAGTTAAACAATCATTATATAATCCATGTAATGCCAAAAATACAGTTTCTACAATCAAATGTACCTCTTTTTCAATGGAGGCCTCCAAGTGAACTGGTTTGTCAGACATCATGAACTGTTTGGAAATTTCAGCCTTGGGTCCGGGCTTGTTGTTAGCCGGTGCAAACTGTATTTTACGAATCATCAGGCGGCAAGTGTCCCTAAGAAAAGATAAAAACAAAAAAACATGGTCAGGGTTTGTTCTCCCTATGTCCTTTATTCTCATATAGTTTAAGAATGCAGAAGAAGAATGCCAGGATTCAGCCGACAGTTTGGTTGGACTGTGGACATACTTACTTCTTTTCAACTACTTCATCTGGACTGTTAGGTGCGTTGGCAAGGTATGCTTTAACCTCAAAGTCCACGCCACAGGCCTACAACATAACAAAACCTTAATAACTTACCTGGCAAACATTTAACATTGCGTATAAGAAAAAATGAAAAGACATTTTTAAAAATGAACCGTAATCGTACCTTGCCAGAATCGTTTGGCGCAGGCTGCAAGGCAACTGAGCACGGGAGATTTGTTGGCATCTGAAACAAGAAAAGACGAGGTACACTGATGAATGAAAATGACTTGAAAGTAAAGGTGACGTAACGGTGTGTTGTTGATCAATGTAACACTAGAGCGAAGGACAGGAGGGATTTGATATGTTACGTAAAGAGTGAAATAATTCCTCCTCACCTGGAAGGAGAAGGGACATCCTTGCTCCCCAACTTTCTTCATGAGCGATTCCTGCATTGGGGTTTTGGTTGCGCTCTCACCTGTAGGTGGATACACCTGAACGCGCTGTATCCAGATGTCTCTCCTGAAGGACAGCCCAATGACATCCAACTCTTCGCTTCCATAGCGGAAGGCACAAGCGAGGTAGACATATACTACAATGGAAAGTCACATTAGTCTCGGTTGTGTAAATACAGGACTTATAACCTTCACCATTTACAGCAGATAAGATGAAAGTACCTTTTCTTCCGTCAAGACCAGAAGGGTCCACTTTAACTATCCCATCTGCGAATGAGAGATGAGTCAACAGTGTTAGATTTCATAGCGATGAACATATATGTACGTATGTAAGGATGCAATGCAGATACTGTGCCACACACCAACTACATCCACTGAATCCACATGGTCCACAAAGTCTCTCTTCCCCAAGTACAGAGCAATCTGAGAGGAAGAGAAAAGCAGAAAACAGTCACTCCCACGCTAAGGTTACAAGAGTTTGAAAGTTATTTCTAGGAGTTGGAAGAGCTACACACAAACTGCACTCCTCCCTAGACCTAAAGGGTGCCCTGTAATGACTATATTATACAGGCCACTTACATGTCCATTGCCGCTGGTCTTCTTAAATACCCTGGAAAGAGGGAAAAAGGAAAATATAGTGAATCAGAATATAATTTCACAATTTTTATCACATATATAACAAACTAAACCTACTTGCTAGAAACAAAAAAAGTCAAAATGTCCCCCCGTAGTGCTCTTCTTACGGCCTTAATTTATTACAATAATTCTAGCTCTTTTTTTTCAATTTCTAAAGTTGTCTTATGTCATGATTTTATTTGATTCACCCACAACCTACCACGGGTGTCATTAGTTAACACTTGGACCTACAATTACCAATTCTGTAAATATCTGAGAGTATTCATTTTATCTGAGTGTATTTTACTATCTATTATTATTTAATTGTCTCTATACTCAAATATACTGCATGCTGTGCAATGACAATAAAGTTGAATCAAATCTAAAGTCAATTCAAATGATAGGATAAACCCCACCCCCCCAATCAGTGCCCTCACTCCCCACTCATGTAAGAATGGATTAGTGCTAAGGATGGAAAAGCAGCTGGACATAAGACTTGTTTTTGTGAGTCTGTACATAATTATTAGTAACATTATAGTTAATATTGTCCAGTTTTTCTCAACATGAAACCATTTCTTAGAAATTCAATGCATGGTGCTGTGGAGTGTTCTTGCAAAACTCAAAAAAAAGTCATCCTGCGACAGTTTTTAATCAATATCTCAGAATATTGAGTGTTTTTCTCAATGATTTTAGGATTACATAAACTTGCGAGCTTAGGCCCGTTGATCTATGTGACCATAAACTAACACGTAATCCTCAGTGGTGTTGGTCTGTGCCAAGTAATCCAATTAAAACTTTTCTTTTGACCTGTAAACCGCTCCTCCAAGATCAAATCCAAACAATCCTTTTTAATCAGGATTGATCCATGTCCTTGCAGACTCAAGTGTTTGAGGAATCACACAGATGCTGCATTTCTGTGCCAAGATGTTGAATTGTTGCAGCAAAGCTGCTTTGCATGTTTCTTGTGAAGGAATTACGAACATCTCTTGTTTGATTAAATTACTTGCATATCAAAACACAGTTTAATTACAAATAATCAAAGTTGTATTTTAAATTCACTTACTGCTGCAAGATCTTTCAAGAAATCAATACCACTTAGTTAGAATTTTTTTGCAGCATAAAATATCATAGTTGCAGTGGTGTTCAATAGTATTCACCTATACACCTATATTTTTTGCCTTTTGTGGCATTTTAACACCTTTTAATAACTGGAATTATTGAAGTTAACCTCTGAACTAAATATGTTACTTTGTCAGGATAGTTGCTAAATTAAATAGATATCCTTTATACTCACTTTGACATGTTGATGGCAAAGTTATAGATCCAGTCTGCAAATAATAAAGTTAAAAAACGTTATCAAAACATGTTATACTGATAAAACTAAGACAATTAGATGCAGAGGTTATATTTTATCTTTCAATATCAGTTTATTGTAGCATTTTAAAGAGGCATTTTCAAAAGGTTATAAAATAAGCGAGAGAAACTTACCGAGCTCTCGGTTCTGTCAGTGGATCTGCTCTGATGCCTGCTGTAATCAGTCACTGTTGACAGTGTGTAGTTTGTGTAAGTGCCAATCACTGCCTCCTCTTGGCTTTTATACTATGACCTTCCAACCCAGGAGCCCTCCCTTCAGCTTATACAGCTCCTCAAAGAAGGCTGTTTTAGAGAAAATCTGATTAATTCGTTAGAACACTACTGCTTTGGTCCGGGGGCGTGTGTAAAAATACTGTGTGTATGTGACTTCAGAGGAATAAGCTCGGGGAGGTGTGGGCAGTGTGAGTGTTAGAGGGGGTAATACACATATGGAGTGAAGTAAACAGGCCAAGACCTGGACACAAACTCCCTCAGGCACTTGGCCTCTGTTGGATTTTGGTTTCATCTGTAATTTTCTAGTACATATGCCACACACACCATCCTCCATGTTTTCCTGTAATTATTGTTGGAACCAGGATTTAATTATCACATGAATAAAATCACCCCAAAGACACGTTCAACGTTACTTAACCTGGGCCGATTCTGAACACTGCAACAAAACATCAAGTGCATACTCATTTTCTAAATTAATGCATGAAAAAAAGAGTTTTTTCAAAAAACCGGATTTATAAACAACTAATAGAACTGTCCACTAACATTAGGAGACCTGGAGGGGAAATATTTCTCCAAGATATCAAAATTGAGTGGCTACTTTAGTGACTCTATCATAAAGAGCCATAATGAAGTACTTATTTAACTGATTTCCAAGCTTGGAAATTTAAAAATACCTCACTGAGGCGAAAACATTGTCTTATGAAAAGACTATGTGTGAATGTGCAAGGAAATCCTTTCTTGAAGCTTAGAGACGAGAAGAGTGGTATTAGTTGGATTTTGGTAGCCCGGGCGACAGATGGCTGCTCTGCCAAGCCTTCCACAATCTGTGCTAATGGCAGGTTTACAGAAATCTAAGTGACCCGCTGACTTACTGCTGTGCATCAAGGCTTTACGAGGAAGTATCAAGTTAATTACAAAACCATTACGCTTGTTGCTTCTTCTGTTTATTGTTGTGACTGAGGTTAATACGGCAAATTAGTAGCATCAATGACACTCTGGTGGCTGATCCATGTTCAGTTTTCAGTATAATAGACTGGATTAAAATATTGGCTTTACCATAAACTCTAATGAAATACCAGGCTTCTATTGTGTGTTATCCACATCCAATGTCAGTGATCTTCGGAGGTCAAAGCCTCTGACTTGGCGCACAGCTAAAGAAGTAAATCTGTGTGTGGTGGATCAGTGGAGGATCTGCACACCCCCTCAGCCAAGTGTAATTGATTGATTAATGAGGGAGCTGACTGATGGATTCTGTGGATTGTCACACCTTGGCAGTAAAAGATAATTAATTAGATTGGCGGATGTTCCTGTTTGGCCTGTGTTCAACTGTCATATGGGGACAAGGTATGAGATCTGTTTAAAGCTGCCCAGACAGGTTCACTGCTGCACATCACTCCGCCGGATCATCAGCCGGGACTTAACAGGCAAATACAAAGCTAAGCAGTCTAAACTATTCAAGCTGCTTTCCCAATCATTGTGCATTAGTGCTCTGCATATAACCTGTAGCTTTACACTCACATGTACAACTTTAATATTTGTATCAGTGAAGGAAAACATCTTAATTCTCTTGTGCACCGTTATGAGAAAGTCAAGCAAACAGTTGCTTTAGAAAGGGTGATGAGATGTGGGGGCAGTGGCTCCCTTATGAGAAACATGAGGCTTTTATGTAACATCCAAATCACCACTGCAGTTTGGGCAGAAAATGGTCAAACAAACGGTTTGACTGACTAGACTGAAAACTGATAGTGTTCAGGCTTTTCCAATAAATCCCACTCTTCTGTTAATACGCCAGTTTAAACAACACGTCTTTTTTTATACAACACATAAATTCAACTATTACTTAGTTTTGTGGCCTATGTATCAATGGCATTTGTGTGAGTTTTTTAATGTTCCTGAGGTTTGAGTTTTGAGTTTGAAGTTTGTCTGTTTGATTTTCTTTTTATCATTCAGCTTTAAATGGACAGTTTTATAAAGGTTTACATATGGAGTTACTTTACTTTTAGTAGAAATCACAGCTATCTCTCCTGTTTGGGCTTTCTATATAAAAACACCAGGAAGACAATCAGAGAGTTGATACCTTCGCCAAAGCAAACACCCTATCCACATTAAAGAAAATAAAATCTAAAATCCTGGATCCTCTTCTTTATCCAGACCCACTCCAGGATTTAGTCAGTTGTTCCTTTGGTCCTGCCCCACCACACAACTAAGATTCACATAAATCGGTTGAAAAGTTTTACTTCATAATCCTGCCAAGTAACAAACAACCAGACAAATGCGGATTAAACATAACCTCCTTGGTGAAGGTAATAATGCAGATGAATACGATGCCTCTCCATGTCACGTCTACCCAAAGTCAGTAGCAACTGCTCTTCATGCCACTTTGTTGTCAAGATCCTAAAAAAAGAACCTTGCACAGTTTTGCATAAAATGAATGCTTCTGTTTTCTGTATCCTGTGTATTCTGTATTCTTCAGCACTTACACTCATTCTGATACCTTTACTCGCTTCACTGGGCCAAAACCCCCCATCTGAGTGGAAGTAGGGAAATGGGGCTGCCTATCTAGTTGTAATTGTTTCATTGGTTGCTTTGTCATTTAGATCACATGAAATCAACTGAAACACTCTGCCAGGAATACTCATTGTGTATTGATTCATTTATTCACAGGTATCTTGGGCTAAAGCCAGGTTAGTGTTAATGTATGAGTTTGAAGTGGATGAATGAAAGGTAATGTAACTTGCCTCCCCCTCATTCAATCCCCTGTGACTTGTTAATGACATTAAAAAGTCACAGGGACCACTGGTGAATCAGTGCAATACATCTGTTAGAATATGTGTCATAGTCTAATTGTATGTATATGATTTTAATCCATTCAGATGTTTTATTAAGTCATTAACAATTCAGATCCATCACTGTGTCACTGTCAGATATGTGCGTACTGCACACAGGTGTATATCTTTGTGCGTTTGGACTGTTCACATAGAATTGTATTTTTGCATGTCCAGGATGAAGCCACTAAAAAAACAAAGGTAATCTCATCTTCACGATGAACTGTCTCTCCAGAGTTTTTTCTCCAGTTTTAGCCGCACAGGGTTACATACAGTCTCATAAGCCCCTTACAGTTAATCTGCTGCCATTTTAGCCGAGCACTATATGTGGAGAGTCAACACTGTCAGGACCGCTGACTTGTCTCAGTGCATTACAGAACCACGGTATTACCACTTCTTAACAGCACACTGTTTGCTGTGTAGCTAAATTAAGGCAGTGATGCTGTGTTTGTTGCTCACAGGAACAAACTCTATTAGGTGCTGAGCCAGTCAGAGTTTCCTTATGTGAGGTTTTTCTTTCAGCATAAACTTAAACAAGGCTCTTAAGCAGCAATGTTTTTAGTGAACTGAATTATGAATGTACCCATATAAACAAGGGTGTTACCTGCTTCTGTCTGTTATAATCTGCAACTCACATGTGACCTTTAGCCAGATGTATTTTTAGCAGCGCTAACTCAACTCAAGTGATGCTGTAACTTTGATGGCCTGCTGCCATAACTGTTACAAACACATGGTCATCACCACCCATTTCTTTTTCCTTACCTGGCTCACAAGGGGATTGTGTTGCTGCTTTTGAAAACACAATTCTACAGCTTCAATTAGCTGCAGGACATTGTTGTTCATTTTTAAGTTCAGTTTGTAAAACTCCTTAGATTTCAATCCATATTTTTTATTTTATTTTTTAGAATGCCACCTGTGGTCTGGTGGACGTTGACTTCACTCTATATTATAAATCATCTCCATATTTATCTAATCACTATCTTTATTTTCTTATATATACTGTATATTAGCATGGCCTTTGGTGCTGTTTGGCCTTTAATATATAATTATCTATTCATGAACGTGTTGTTTAATATTAATAATACAACACCTCTTCATCCAGCTTAATCTTCATCAGTTTAAAGTAACTAAACATTCCGTTAATTTATTTATGTGAATTGAAAAAAGCTGATTTGACTACAAATGTTTTTCAGCCCCAGGTTTGTTTTATGAGTTGATGTTGCAAGGGTTGGTATATATCGGTTTGCTGATAACATCAACCGATATGAGTATCTGTGTTTTTCCGATATGCAGCGGTATGAACTTCTACAGGATTAACAATGTAAAAATGATGCATGTATATTGATATGTTTATGAAAAAAATATGGTTGGACTCTAAATTCATATTTATTTTTCCTTTGTGGTTAAATTGTAAATTACCGAACACTTTCTATATGTATGTTAAAGTTGGACGATGAATTGGTATCAGAAATGTTTTGCTCCCTATTCTTGGCATCTGCGTCTGCCCCTCAAACTCCACGTCTGTGGGACTCTACTTGTTAACACTTTGAGGATCACCTAAGGTAACACACTCAAGTAAGATGGTGACCAAACATCCTTGCTAAACATCAGCATGTTCTCATTTTCACCATGAGCATTTTGACGTTAGCATTTAGCTCAAACTACTGCTGTACAGCCTCAATGGTAAATATTTGCGTATTTTCCAATTATATGTTGCAGCGAGCACGTAGCAAGAAGAAGTGATTAGAGCTTGAGATTGAGTCAAGAAGATGCATCATCAGTTGGGGGACGGCTGCGTCTGTTTGTTTTATGGGGGCTGCGGTTGGTGGTCGGCACATTTCTGCGGCGCAGTGAGAGGCAGAACAGCAAATATGGGACCAAACGGCTTCCCACAGACTTACATGTTCCAACTAATGGAGAAGGAGGGAAGTAGGAGGGCTGAATAATGGGCGAAGTTTCTACGAGGACAAAAATAAGAAAGTTGGGGATGATCATAACCATATGGAGACTGCATTTTCCTGCAAGGGTTGAGTGAGCCAGAGAGGGTGGGAAGTTTAGGGAGGGTGACAAAAGGAAATAGGTTGGGACAGGAGAAAGAGAGGGTGGAAGAACGTAAATATTACTGCCATGGGTTGAAACATCTGGAAGTAAAGATAATAAAACAAAAACTAGAAAGAAACTGAGGATTAGCCTCTCACCTGAGAGTGGAAAGTTATGTGTTCTGTTTGGAATTTGAGGAGAGAGACAGGGCAGGGGCTGAGGGAGGCAGAAGAAAATAGACGAGTGGGGAGAGGGAGAGAAAAAGGAAGCAGTCTGCTGTTTCACACACTGGTGGTGAAGTTGAGCCCCTCGCAAGAATTCTCCTGGCTGTGTCCGCCATCTGGAATGTCGAGTCACTTCCTCTGTCTGTGCTGTGCTCTTACGGGGTTGTCCTCTTCCTCTCTGCTCCCTCCCTCTGCTCTGACAGCACTGTGAAGAACCGCTGGAGACCACGCCAGTGCGGACGGGACTCTTCTGACAAGACACACGCGCCAGCACACAAACATCCAGCATGAAAGTGAGACCCCTGGATTAGCCCACATCCAACCAGGCACCATCTGAGTGGAATCTGGGCCTGGAAGAGGCAAAGACAACTGCAGTCATCAGCTGAACTTTCTTTGGAGGGTGTTCCTTTTCCCTTATATGGCTACAGAGCTGAGAAATCATTTGAATTAGTCTGGTTTCTGTTGCATGCCTGTCTGGTTTTAGTGCTGACTGAGTTCCATCTGCTGTGTTTCTGTCTCTGCTGCGTGCCTGTGTGGGAGCCGTGTGTGTGGCTCCATTTGTTTATTTTGCCGTCTTAGTTCTTCTTTTCCAGTTGTTTGCATGTGGGGCTTTTGTTTGGGGACAAGAGGAGAGCTTGTGTTTGTGGTTAAGCTAGAGGCAGCGTCATAGCCTCAGGGCTGACTGCTTCATTCAGACTCTTGCTGTTTTTCCTCTACCTCCTGTCGACCCCCCCCCGCACTGCTGTGATGGTCTGTGTTTGTTGGAGCAACACACCCACCTCGGTGCAGAAAACTGCAACCAAAAACTGAAGCAGGGTCTCAGCACTGGAGGGTATCATCAGAAAGGTGGACTGGAGCTTCTGCCAAGAAGCAGGGTGTTGTAACAGTGGACTAATCTCACCATCAGCTGGAAGCTTCTTTCCTCCCACGATGCAACAGGATGTGTGACCCAACAGGAGCCAATAGGTGCACAGGAAATGCCAGCTGATACAGACGAGTTGGGTTTGACACTTTGATCATGAAGAAAAAGACCATGGCAGACATAAACACTTGAATAGAATGGTGTCAGGTTCATCAACTCATGTGGATGACTTTTATGACCGTATCACTCAACATTGATTGCCATGGCGACGGCGGCATGGTATCATCGCGACATCAGCCGCGTGCACGCAGAGGACTTGCTGGCACGGGCAGGGAGGGATGGCAGCTACCTAGTGAGAGACAGCGAGTCTGTGCCAGGAGCCTACGCATTGTGCCTGCTGTGAGTACACACACACACACACACACCTACAGCCAGGTTATGGTACCTATCACAACCAAACGTCATTGCCTATATGAGTCACTTTAAACTATCATGATCTATTAGATGGCACATTCTGTGTGAGAACCTCTGAGCTGGTTATTTAAGTGATGCAGCTTTAATTGGTGATGTGTGAATCTAAACCTTAAAAACTGACTCCCTTCTCTCCAGAAATCATTTGTACAGAAATGATTGGACGTTACTTTATTTGTCTAATTTTGAGTCCCACCTCCTTTAAAACATTGAATGAATGATTCGCTCATAATGGCTTGCATTAATAACTGTTGCCCTCAGTGAGAAGAAACAGAAAGCAGCTCAACTTTATGTGAAGCCATGCTTAATTACCTAATCTTGTGAAATTCTATATTTTGGCATAAAGGATTGGAAACTATTCATAAACTCCAACATTTCAGCAGAATGTCACCATCTGTAAATTGATTCAGCAGCTTCACTCACCCTGTCATATCCATCACTTTCATCACCATGTGCCAGCAGGCAGCAGAGGAGCTGCTATACGGCTGTGCTGCCAGCCTCGCACATACACCCTCTCCAGACTGTCCCGTCTGAACACGGTCCATCTCAGCCAGTCAAACCCTGGCTCAGGACTCCCTGTTTCCCCTCTTTACCCCACTTTCTTCCCTGGGGCCCCTGGAAGAGGGCGGGAGCTCCAGTGACCGCACTACGCCGACTGCTCATCAGCCCCAGCCAGATACATTCCTGAAAGCTGAGCCCGGTCGCTCGCAGTGCTCCCTCTTTCCCTTCGTTCTTCTCTCAATATCTGATTCCCTCTTCTGTTGACTTAAATTTCTCCATACTTTGGTTTTCAGTTATTCTGTTATCACCGGTTCCCTTTGGCTCATGTAAAACATTACCTGATCAAAAGCTGCCATTCATCTTTATGTGGTGCCTGAAACAAATCCCCTTTAAAGTGAATGGTGGAGATGATCCAAGTGCCTCTTACATTGTATCAGGAAAACAAGCCACATCATTAGAGATCTGTAAAACAACTGGCGCCTTGTTAAAGGAGGTTATAGTGCTTTTAACTACTGTTAGACATCTGATCCTTATATAAACAATTGGTTTAAATATATTTTTCCTTTGAATTTTGGTTTAGAAGTGTTTTGTGGTAATTTGCTATAATAACAGAACTTTCTTTGGTTTCCAAAGGTTCCAACGTCATGTTCACACATATCGTATTCTCCCTGATGCAGACGGCCTCCTCGCAGTCCAGGTAAGTGATTGTGGCCACATCCTGAATCCTCTGCCTGACAAGGAAGACCAGAGGAAAAGGAAATAAAAAGTTTCTGAAACCTTGGCACAAACTGTAAAGACACAAAGAGCTCAGATGGAGCTGCAGGGATCAAACAATGGTTTGTTATTGCTGTTGTAAGGAGAACAGGAACGTGTTTGTGTTTCTTCTCTTTGCAGGGTCTGTTACAACTGCAGTAGCCTTGTTGTTTGAATGGCATCTCTGCCATGTGGCTGCATGCTTGCAGCATGAGCTCAGCAGCACAGAGGAGAAATTGTTTTTATGTCTCAGAGATTCCTACTCAACCCACATACTAGGTCATTGAGCAATGGGTGCGCTTATTTGTTATATGTGCATGTATGAGGGTGTTTGTATTAGAAATAATGAATTTGTTGGATGTGGCAGAGTTGAAGCCAGTGATGGTATGTGTCTGTTTTTGATACTCTGAGAAGGAGGCCATTTAGTCAACAAATGACCTAATTATTACACTATAGAAACACACAGACACAAGCACAAAGTTCACAACCACAAGCGCACACACACATACTCGCAGCGGGTGGGAGAAAATAAGAGTAAGAATGTCTGGCCCTGAATCGCATATCATATGTGTTCTTTTTTAGCCATCTGCAAAAAAGTCCAATAATGAGTTTAATAACGATTGTCTGGCAGTTGTTTTTCAAGGCTTTGACTTGGAAAAATCCTCTGCTTTCGAATGAAGACCTTAAACTCTGTTGCTATTTTAGTTGTTTTTTCCACTGCCATCAGTATAAACCTGCAGTTCGTATTTTCCCTCACTGGATTTGCTCCACAAACTCACAAAGACGCATGCTTGCCTCCTTGTTTTTCCAAGAAGGCCACGGAGATATATTTTTGGGGACGTTTGGTTTCTCACCATCCTTCTTTTTAATTGCTTTTCAAGAGATCTCTGTGTTTTAAAAGAATAATATCCATAGCTGCTGGTGAAACCCATCAGAAGCTTGACTCTGTCAACACAAAATAAAAATAAAAAACTCTAAAAAAGAGGACACAGGGAAAGAGATTGCTTTGCATTTGGTCTAATGTCCCATAAGTTGGATTTGAGCACATGACTTCTCATACTTTACATGTCCAGCACCTGTGCATGTGTTTGCTTATTTTTACCTTTTTGCTCGTGCTGCTTTGAGGGCCACTGAAGTGTAGCGATGCAGGTTTTAGTGGAAAGTTTGAAAGTCATCTTGCTTCTGCTTGTGCCTTGAATTTGCGAGCGTATGCATGTGAAAACGTCTATGACATGTTTTTATGGGGGGCTTTTTAGCCTGACGGGGAATATTGGACCACAGTGAAACATGCCGGCCACCTGCTGCAGTATTCAAGAAGTAGATGTCAGTGATGCCACGAATTGTGCCGGATGCAGGGCGCTGATTTTAAAATCCTCCTGGGGTTCCTTTTTATCACAGCAAGTCATCTGCGTGGGACTTTTTCTGTCATGCAAAAAAATACTTCTGCTTTATCCTACAACGAAAGAGTCGGGGGAGGGAGGCAGTTATTTTATCAAAGCCCTTACGTCAGAGTTTTCATCATCTCTATTTCATAAAAAGTTTTTTGAAAGAATGTGATTTGAACGCAGTAGATTTGATCATTTTTAATAGTGAAGTACATCTTCTGCATTTTATTACTCACTGTAAGTTTGCCATAAGAAATCAAATAACAAAAATGACTAAATTAATAAATATGTGTCATCCATCAATTGTCTGACTGATATATTGGTTGGCCGACATAAATCAGCCAATATTGGGTTGTATTTCTGTTATTTATAATAAAGTTTATAGATAAACTTTAAAATATCATGGCTCAACTGCATTTCTTTGTTGTAAGGGTTTGATAATGTCATTTTAAGAATCCTTTCCAATTTCTTTTAAGCATATATGAGCCAATATATCTGTAGCCCAAATTTTTTATCCCATAATATCGGTCTCGCATCCCAAAAATCTATTTCGGGTGGGCTCTAATTTATTATCTATAGAACTTAATTTGTTTTCAGTTTCTATGATATTCTCTGGTCTGTCAGCACATATAGATGATAGTGTGAGTTATACAGTATTTCAAGTTTATTCAGTGACTTGTGTTGTGTGTTTGTCTCACAGACAACACAGGGGGTGCAGGTGAACTGTTTCCGGACACTGGAGGACTTGGTGTTGGGATACCAGCATCCACACAAAGGCCTTGTTATGCCGCTGCTCTACCCTGTTCCCCGTGACATCGACACAGGGGATGAGAGCTCAGGTAGACCCACTAACTGAGATCACAGAAAAACATTTTGAATGCACATATCAGTTAATGCTTTATATTGTATATGTTTCATGTGTACACAGATGATGAGAAGCCACCTTCAGTTCAGCTTTTATCAGGACCACCAGCTAAACCAGGCCCTCCTGCCCCATTCCTTGATAAATTACAGGAGCTGAACACATCCAGGTATGATTCTATGATTCTACAGCTTAAATCTCAAACTCTAGTCAATCATTCAAACTTTCTTTCAGATTTGTTCCTCGTGTAAAGCCTCTCCTGCATGTGTAGTCCTGCTTTTGTTTGGTTACAATATCATATAAATTCATAAATTGACTGTTTAGTAGCGTGTAAATGTAATTGTAGTGTCACATTAATGCCAGTCATTTGTTATGTTCACTTCTTGTTCTTCTTCTTCTTGCAAGTTATGACGATCAAGCAGAGATAAACCAAAGGAGGCAACTTGTAAAATGCTTTTTGCTCGTTTAACTTGTTTTGGCCTATTATGAAATGTTGATATAAAACAGTGAGTGTTGGTCAAACGTAAACAACTGAAATGCCAAGAGAACAGAAATGGCTTGCACAAATATTATAGTTCTAAATCTGTCTGTGTTGTTTCTACAGCACTGCAGGTGACGTGATGGGTCTGCTCAATGACTACCTCTTCAGTGAGCTCCCTCTCGACATTGACAATGTGCATAAAGGGGCAACAACTCTATGCCACCTCAAGCGTACTCTGGGTACTGCCTGCCAGGGCCTGAACAGGTCAGCATCATTCCACTTGTAATACTGGGGGTAAACCAGATGTGTGGATTGTAATGTATAGACAGTACTGACAGGCAGTGATATCGCATACTATACAGTGGTGTGGGGTGCAAAATCTGGAGAAAGTGGAGTTAGACTCATGTGCTAGGTGATCTGCACCGGGTTTCTGATTTATTTCAATTCACAAATATTGATATGTGATGATTAAACAAAAGTTGTGTATTGTTTTGCTCCACAGTGAGATTGACCTGACTCTCTCAAGTCTAGAAACCCTGGCGAAGGTGTTCGACCATCCTAGCTGCTCTTTGACACACAACAAGGCACAGGTACATATACTTTTATAAGAACTGGAACGGACATCAGAATGTCTGAAGTGGTAACCCAGAACTGTGAAAGGTTATGAATCAATATCCGTATGCATCACCTTAATGGACCTGTCTTTGTCTTTTTGGAACAAGGGCCCAGAGATGGACATAGACATCTTGTTGTGTAAGATTTCAGCGTTGGTCAGCCTCCTTTCTTCACTGGAGAAAAAGGTATGTTTTTGTTTCTGATCAGATTTTTATGACCAGGTGTTTTAATCCTTCTTATTTTTGGAACAATGATAAAATCCATATTTGTCACAGTCCTTTAACTTTCAGTGGTGGGTCAGGGGTTAGTGTTGAAGGTTGAGGATTGAAAAAAGATCAAACTTGTGATGGACAAATATAGTATCTAACATTTACGATCCTCTGGCTGTGAAGGTGTTAAAAGCACTACAAGACGCTGTGACCAATCACAATCTGGCAGTCCAGCCCACTCCACCCCCACCTGAGCCAACACCCACCAGCAGAGCACCTGTAAAGAACCATGTCAGACAGGTGCCAGTTCACTCCTTTCAGGTAAACCAGCGTGAAAAAGCCTTGTCATCTTAAAACCAACCAAATTCTGTCATTTATTTTTTACAAACCCTATTTTAAACTATAACACAAAGTGAGGAAAATAATACAAATATTTGTTTGTCTCTTTGTCACCAGGTGAAGATGGTGAGGTACGGCAGACAGACAGTTTCTGTTGATGTGGACACAGGAATGCTGCTTTTTGACAGAAAAGCTGGTTCATTCACTGTTGAAAAGGTCTCACATGACAGAAGTAAGAAAATATTTTCTCTGTATATAAAATGACTTTGACCTTTCTTGCAAATATACTATATGATTTTTATTGGCATGTTTTTTAATCATCAGTCCTTCAGATTGTCAAGTTCCAGAGCAGCCCAGCCAAGGTTTGCATGGTGGTTGACAGTCACCACAACACACCAAGGGAGATGACGTTTGAGAGCACACGGGTACGACGAATATCAGGTTTTAATATTAACTGCAATTAACAGTTTCCTCTCCCATAAGTCACTGAGTGACTGTTGTCTCTTTTAGAAACGCGACTCCTTCTGCCAACTCCTCCAGATGATGAAGACCAGACACTCTCAGCTGAGTGAACCTGACATGGTCTCTGTTTTTGTTGGCACCTGGAACATGGGTAAATCAAACATGTGATGACAGTCACTTTTGCAGATGACTTGTTTATGGGCTGAAGTTGACGCTCAGAATTTTATTGTGTTGTTTTGTGTACACAGGTGGATTCCCTCCTCCTCGCAGCCTGCAGACATGGGTGACCTGCTGTGGTCTGGGACACACCCCCGACGAGTCGACCGCCTTGCTCCCTCATGACATCTACGCCCTGGGGACCCAGGAAAACCCTCAGGGCGAGAGAGAGTGGACAGAACATATCAAAGCAACCCTTCGCAGCTATACTCACATTGACTTCAAACAAGTAATGTTTTACTTTTTCTAATTTTATTTAAGCTTTAACTGTGGATTCTTATGTCTAAACAAGGTGCTTTATCAATGAAGCTATAACATGTCAGTGCAGAATAATTGAAGGGGCTTCATGTACGTGTTTTTTTATTTGTCACATAGCCAACATTAGTACTGAGAACTGTTTACTAAGTAATCCAGCAGTAATGTTGCAATTCAAGCATAAAACCTAATTCATTTAGTCACCAAAAGCTTCAGCAGTGAAGAGCAACATCAGTTCTTTGCTTCTAATAAAGTTAGCAGTTAGAGTCTCGTCTCTTAGGAAGTGGTGCAGAATACGTGAATAAGCTGTATGAAGCCTTTTTTCGACTCAAGGTTGAGTTGTGCAAAGTTTTATAAATCGCCTTAAGTCCATTTTGAGAGCTTCAATTTTATAGACTCTATCTGAATGTATAATCTCAGTGATATATATGTTTTGAAGAGCTTTTTTTATAAAGTTAAGTTAAGGCAATTTTATTCATAAAGCATCTTTCATACATAGAGGTAGATTTGAGGTGGTGTACAGGAATATTAAAGAAAAACAAGACAGAGAAACATTAAAAGAAAACATTTAAAATCTGAAAGCACAGTTAGAAACAATTTTCAAACAGAATAAAATATTAAAATAAGTAGGATATGTGATATAAAATACAAATAAGTTGAAAGGGAAAAATAATACAACTAGATAGAACTGCCTCAAATAATACAGTACAATACAACTATAATGAAATAATAATAATGGGATGACCTTGTAAAATAGTTTAGTTAAAGGCACACTGAGTTTCCATCCTGTTTTTTAAGAGAGTAATCAGAGCACGTGATTACATAGAAGTGGGTGAATCCTGAGAAATCTATAATTGTTTGATCTTTGGTTGGAAACTGTCCCTGTCTATTGTAATACGAGACAATGTCCTGCAGGTGGCAGTACAGTCCCTCTGGAATATGAGGCTGGCTGTGTTTGTGAAGCCGGAGCATGAAAGTCGCATCATCCATGTGAACACAGCCAGTGTGAAGACTGGCCTGGGGAACACATTAGGTAAACCCGACCATCACAATTACACACAAATCAAATGCAATAAATATTATCATGGCTGACGACAAGAAATAAGAAATATCAATGTTTGATCATCAATACAAAAAATTTGCTTATGATCATGGAGGTTTCAGGTTGTGTATTTCCTTCATTTCAGGAAACAAGGGGGCTGTTGGGGTCTCGTTCCTCTTCAATGGAACATCTTTTGGCTTTGTTAACTGTCACCTGACTTCTGGAAGTGAGAAGGTCCTGAGGTACATTAACTGTTTATCTGTACAGATACTGAACGTTCAAGACCAAGTGTGTGTGTGCTCCTGTGTCATATCTCTGCTGTATGAAAAAACATCTCTGTCTTACAATGCGTGTGATGTTCAGGAGGAACCAGAACTTTGTGGACGTCCTCAGGCTCCTTTCTCTAGGCGACAAACAGCTCGGTGCTTTTGACATCAGCCTGCGCTTCTCTCATCTCTTCTGGTGTGGAGACCTCAACTACAGACTCGACTTAGACGTACAGGTCAGACTAACAATTACTAGATCTTTGTCATTCATTGCTCTTTTCTAAAAAAAATATTAGAAATTATAAAGTCAAACCCCCCAGACTTTGCTGTCTAAAGTTTCTCTCTGGTCGTCACTGACCGCAGGACATCCTGAAACATGTGTCTAAGAGAGAGTTTGAGGAGCTCATGTGTGCAGACCAGTTGACCCGAGAGAGACACAAGAGGAAGGCCTTCCTCAATTTCAGTGAGTTTCAAGTTTAGAAGTTTGTACTTTATTGAGAGCTATACTGTAAATACCATATATCAGACATGTATTTGATAAACACTATTTCACAATTATGAAGAATCAGTATCGTACATTAAATTTAGATCCAGCTCTACCTTTGCTCACCTCGCTTTGCTCTTCTGTTCTGTGTTTATCGTGGTAAAGAGGAGGAAAAGATTGCATTTCCACCCACCTATCGGTATGAACGGGGCTCTAGAGACTGCTACCTATGGCAAAAGTACAAGACTTCAGGGGTGAGTTACACAAACACACCTCAGAAAGATCTTTTAGGTGCAGGACAGAGTACACTGGCCACACATCTCTGAATAAATGCCAAAATGTAAGGGTTGATTCAGTAAAAGCAGAATAACTTCATCAAAGTTTCATACCAGGGATCTGGCTCTTAAAGTTAGCAGCATTGATCTGTAGGTTGGTTTTATGCTCTGACTGAAATACAGCATCTCAACAACTATGGGATGGATTGCCATGAGAATTTGCAAACAAAAACAACTTGGTGCCCAGAGGATGAGTCATTGAGTTGGGTTATGGTCTGATGTCTATTTTCTCATGGTTTAATATTTAATAATAATAAAACTTCATATTTATTTAGCACTTTTCAAAAACAGGTTTACAAAGCTGCTGACATGGCTGTAGTCTCTTGGTCTTGCTAATATCAGGTTCTTTATCAAGATGTATTGATCCTACTGTTGTTTATACATATTCCTATAATTACATTTTTAGTTAAATGTCGTTTCCTGGTCTGGTGCTGTTGTATTTTTAGCCTATAGGTTTATTGTACTGCACAAAGTGCCACTAAGAAGTAAATAACCCAGAGGCATTCTAAGTATACAGTGAACTCACTTCTTCAGATATTTTTAACCTCATCCTACATAAGTCGTCTGTAGGGATAGGTGACTTTGACAGCTGCAGTCGAGATCACTAAAAATAGAAGGGTTAAAAATTAACCCAGTCTTTGAAAAGGAATGTCTGGCACAAGGAGCCATTCGCTACATAAACTACACATATCTGGTATTTTCATTTGTTAATAGACGTACAAAGTATTTTACATAAATGTGTTTCTGTAGGTGCGGGTCAATGTGCCATCATGGTGTGACAGGATTCTGTGGAAGTCCTATCCAGAGACGCACATAATTTGCACTGCGTATGGTAAGATCTGGTGACTTTAAGAAGCTGTAAGTAGAACAGTTAACAATTAAATGAGGAATAAGCAAATGCTGAGGAGCAGCAGAGAAGGTGCCGTGCTACGAAGACAAGATTTGATGCAGAATTCTCAAACTAAATAACTGTGTTCTTTGTTTCACCCCTTGAACTTTTAAGTGAGAGCAACCATCAACATGACCAGGCTAACAACCAAAAACGACATTTTGGTCTGTGGTCTGTCAAAAAAAACAAACTGCTTTAGTCGGCTTCTGTTTATGACTGACTACAGCAAACTTATCAACACATAGTGCAGAGTAGTTGCAGAATCACTTTATCTTTGTCTCACCTTGTGAATATCACACACTTACAGTGTTGTTACAAAACTCCAGCCACAGTAAATATAAGCTATTTCGTGTTGTTAGTGTGATTGTAAATAATCTGATGTGGTGGATTTCTCTGTCACCAGGTTGCACAGATGACATCTTCACAAGCGATCACTCACCTGTTTTTGCCACGTTCCAAGTGGGAGTGACGTCACGGTTCAGCTTCAAAACAGGTGCTGTCACTGTTGTGGTATAAGACACAAACAGATGGATCGTGACCGGAGGCCGTCATGGAGTGAACTGTGTTGTTGATGACTTTGTCTTGCACAGATCCGAACCCCGGCATGGAGAGGGCCTGGATAGAGCTTGAAGGCGTGGAGGCCATTGTGAAGACTGCGAGCAAAGCAAAGTTCTTCATTGAGTTTCATTCAACTTGCCTTGAAGGTATGATGTCACATTAAAAACATTTTTTTTATAGAGCATTATGCAACACAGTGGCAGATATTCCTTCACATCTTTCTTTGCAGAGACACGACGCTCAAGTGAGAACGACTCGCAGAGCTGCGACGTTCCTGGGTTTCTGAAACTAGGCTGGTCCTTCAAACAGCTGCCTAAGGTCAGAGGCTCAGTCCGTTTGAAAAAAGAAAAGGGTGGAAAGGGTTTGTTTTAAAATCAAAATGAGTCACTTGTGATTTGTATATGTTTGTCATAGCTTCTTCCAGTCCTGTCTGACATGGAGTATCTTCAGGATCAGCACCTGCTGCTGTCTGTCAAGTCATGTGACGGCTTTGAGTCATACGGTTGGTCACAGAGCAAATTCATTCAGTCTCTTCAGCTACTCCAATGATAAGCGGTTGGCTACTTTGCTAATGAGTGAGCTTAACATGGAATTATGTTTGTTTCTGTATTTGATTGTTTGTTTGTTAGTTGGCTGGATTACACAAAAACTACAAACCTGATTTCCATGAAGGTTTGTGGAGGGGTGGGGAATGACCCAAGGATTTTTAACCCACAAAATGTTGTTGCGGATCTGCACCAGGGGGCGGATCCAGGAATAATTTGTTGTTTGTTTTTTTATAGAACTTGATGCAAAAAGAAAATTACGCATGTTCAGAGCACTGATGTTTATGAGTGTGTGAAATTTGGTGAAGATCCAAATAAAAAAACAGATCCTGTGATTTAAATGTGGTTTCACGAGGAAACTGTTTGGCCTTGATGAAAGTATGCACTCCAACCTAGTTCTTTTTATTTTTTTTAAACCCTTATGTGCTATCTACAAATCCAGTTTCATTTTATATTGATAAGATTTGAATATATAATTATCTGTGTGGAGATGACACATCTCTAGATACACATATACAGTATTTTATCTACAGTATATGCAAAATTAATTAAAATGTTCACAGTTAAGTGTATAAACTGCTGTTTTTTCATAGTATGTTCTTCTAAGAGCACCAAATCAAACCACCAACTACAGTCAGTGAAGTACTACTACCTACTACCTCAAGAAATCATGTTTGAGTCTAATGGAATCCTCCTGAAACTGAATGAATAGATTGCATGAATAGACCTTCTGTTGTGTTTCAAGGTGAAATGTCCTATTGATCTAATCAATAACCATTTAAAAATCTCTTTTTGCAGGTGAATGCTGTGTAGCTCTGCGCTCACTCACACGTGCATCAGAACAGTTTGAGACGTTCCTGAGTCACCGGGGTGAAGAGATGGGCTCCATAAGAGGACGCGTCAGGGTCCATGTGCCCAAAGACAGGAGAGGAACACGGGAGAAGATCTATGGTGGGTCAGCCGGAACTGGTACAACTCCTAATCTCTGCCTTGCTTGCACTATCACTTCCCACTAAACTTTCATCTCCACTGTCACTGCGTCCTTTGACTCTCCTGCAAGTCTCACATGGCTTCCTCTATTTGGTTCCGCAATGATCCCTGGCTTGGCTTTACACTTGCTGGTATCTATCGACCGCTTCCTCTTATGGCTCCTGATTGACTGACCCTGACCAGATGCATCCTGAGAAACTGACACAGGACAGATGAATATTGTGTCACCAGGTCAGGCGCCACAAAAACACACACAAACACCATCACTCTGTATGTCTGCAAACTGACATCCTACATGCACCACACAGACCATAAAGAGGTCTTTCACTTCACAAAATGTCTTTTCTAATGTCCTGTGCTTTGACTTTTTCCAGAGTGGTTCTGTTTTGAGAAAGATGATAAACAGCCTCTGAGAGGACACATGTCTCCTGCATCGACACGGGTCCAAATAAACAGGTGAGGAACTCTCAATGATTCCGAGCATCAGTGTGAAGCAGCAGAAATCCTTCAGTTCTAAAGGAAAGAGTCTCTAGAGCTTTCACCCAACTCACAGCAACATCTCCCAAAACCACGAGAGCTTGTTGTTTTAGGGGTTTACAGTTGTTTAGGGTTTGACCACATTTTACAAATGGACAAGTTGCATGAACTGAAGGCTGTATTCCTGCATTGTTTTGGTGATTGAACTGTGTTTTATCCTCTTTGTAAATGTACCTGTACTCACATGCTCATATTATTGCAGACCTTTGTTTTTTTGATGCCACTTTCACTCGTGAGAGTTAAAAAAACTTATTTCAAACAAAGTCTGTGAACAGTTTGTTTATTTGGTCAAATTCAAGATTTTTATATATCCATCACAGGCCCTCTCCAGTTCCTCCTAAACTTACTCCGAGCAGCTACACCAATCCTGCCTACTTCATCTTTGAAGGCGTGTCGGTGGCACGCAGGGTGGAGGAGGCCCTCCCCCAGCAAAGAGACCCTCAGGTGATCTGGTCTGGTAATGAGGCCTTGCAGCTCCCGAAAATCTCAGGACGTCAGGGCTTTGAAAGACGACCCTGTCGCAGGTCAGACTTTACAGAGATCGAAATTCCCGCCATCCTGCCCCAGTGCACTCCAACCAATGACCTCCAAACACCCCAAACCAACTCTTCCTATCAGCTGTTCCCCGCCAAGGACCCGTCTCCCATTTCTCCACCCTCCAGCAACGCCATCTCACAGTTTCAGGAACCGGCTTCACAACCCAGAGACAAATATCCATGTAAAAATACTGTTCAGGATTCCATACTGCCTGTAAATAACCTGAGGAACCTGTATATGAATCACTCAGCGATCATTAGGGAAAAGAACAGAAGGGATCAACATCAGCTCCTCTCAGAGAGGACCAATCCAATCCGGGCTGCCAAGGTGCCGTCAGCTTTCCCTTTCACCCCCCCTCACTTAGGACCCTGTCAGGCATCTGTTCCCTGGATAGTGGATCAGCAGCCACCTGGGCCTACAGGGGATCACTCCCTCACTGCTTTGCAAATTGCCAAGTCCCTAAGTGAAGTTGACTTCTTCCCCTCAGAGCAGAGAGGCCCGACCATAACCAACCAGAGGCTAAGTTACAGAAACGGCCCTTCGATGCATGGAGACAGGAGCCACAGCTGGGAGAAAGAGGTTCGCACCTTTCACAAAACAGTTTTTAAAAGACGTTACTCCTGGTTCTCTTTAGTGATTCTGTCTGATTCATCTCAAAGCAGGTGTCTGTGCTCCAAGGGGCACCGGAGACAGTGCGGGAGCTTCTCAGCACTCTGGGTCTTCAGAAATACACCCTGGGACTCAGTCTCAATGGCTGGGATGATCTGGATTACTTCAGGTAAAATAATTTGTTCCACAAGCTCTTTATAGTGTAGGCTCGTCACTGCATTTCACAGACAGGAAAATGTTATGATTTTTGTTACCCTACAGACATAGACACTTAACTGCAGCTGAGTTACAGTTTGTGACACTAATGCCAACACTTGAAGCCAATAACCTGAAACAAGCTCCTCTTTTTTACCATTTAATTAATTTTCAAAATCAGAACAAAGATGAAAATTGATTTAAAAAGCACACACAAGGTGAACCTTTTGCAAAAAACTAAATGAAAAACGGTTTCAAGTTTCAGTCACTTTAATACAACCACTGAAGGAACAGAAACTAAGAACATTCATCTGGAACTGTCATCACATATTTACTGAGAATTCACCTGGATGGGAACTTTACTACTTTCTGTGTTAAATGTAACACACAGGACACATGATATGAGTAAAATACACTTGGTTATTGTGGAAACTTTGGTGTTCAGGAGACAGATGCAAACCTCAGTTGAAGGCCTGATCAAATTAGTTCATGTGACAGTCATGTGAGCGTGATGACTTAAATTAATCACTGGGTTTCAGGGTTTGCAGTTAAACTTCACTGAGAGGTGGTCGACTGATTAAATAGATAAATAAATAATATCCATCCAGTCACGATTATGATTCAGAGTTGTAAAAGCATATTGTCACCGTCTGGTCATAATAGTCAGAGTTGAATCCACTTGCTCAACAGTTTTGCCTGCAGCCTGTTTCCTTAATATATAAATAATAAGGGACAAATCCATCTTCCTTTTTTATAATTTGATCTGAGGTTACCGTAAGGCTGCAGCCGTCTGACTTCGACTGATGAAGTCGGTAACTTCCCCTTTTTCTTCCCTCTGACAGTGTTTCTGTGTTGAGCTGCAGAGGGAAAGCAACACAAAGAGGCAATTTCATACTAACCGACTGTAACCTTTTCAGATACCCTCTTGATCTGATTAACTCAGACTGTTGAAGCCTCACATTCCCTTCAGATAGACTGAGTAATTCGTTCTGTAGTGTGGAATGAGGGCTGGATTTTTAACCCCCATCCTGCACATTGGACAAGCGAAGAGAAGGAACACGTACAACGAACAAAATCTGTTTCTGAAAACATTTCTCTTGTGCCTATTGATTTTAAAATCAGACACAATGCACAAGATATAAATATGCTGACATTACCAACATTTAAGATTCAGCAAACTGAACTATTGCAAATGTTTTATAATTTTAATGAGTCAGGTTGGTTTTTCTGCCATTTCTCCACAGCGGCATCACTGAGGAGGATCTACGGGCTGCAGGAGTGACGAACCCTTCGCACCGACGCAGGATCCTCGAGAATCTGCCCAGGAACTGGAACTGACGCTCAGATACAACAAACATGGATGGTGCAGAGCCTCCTTGTCTGCTCATTTATTCCAACTGGAAGAACTGGTAGAGCTGAGATCCGACTGATGGGATATCAATCACAGCAGCTGGACTTTACCTCAGTTCATCTTTTCATTTCTCATACTCAATCCAATCACCTTAGTTGAACTCCTACCCGGAAATGAAAATCAGAAAAAGAAAAATAGGGCTTTTTTAAAAAATGTTTTTTGTTAAAGCATTTTCTGACACAAAATAGAATTTATACATAATAGCTAGAAAATCTCAAATTGCACTTTTCTTGATAAGGAAGACTCCATCTGTTTACTCTCCGTCTACATTATATATTTACAGCGACAACATCGACAGTTCAGTTGCACGAAAGCTGTGTCCAGTCTATTGTGGAGTTTGAGTGATGCTGTGTGCCATGAAGGGACGTAGCAAAGATTAGACTGAGTGATTTACACCTGAGAGGATGGCAAGTGACGTTCTCTGCAGCGAGTGAGCGTGTGTCTCTGACAGGCAGAGTTCAGTGAACGCTACGGGACAGAAGTTCAGCCAAGCTGCACGTGGGTAAAGTTTGCTTTCAAAGTTTTCTGCCAAAAAAACCTCAACACTAAAACTAACCTGTAACCAAACTGCAACTGAAAACTGAAGCCAGTAAGAGTTTTCTGCCAGAAATGCAATTTCCTCCTAACAGCAGCTACAGCAACACATATTCAGCTCCCTCGCTATTTGTATAAAGTTGATGTATAACAAACATAATTTAAAAAAGCCCCGATGTTAAATTTTTCAGAGATGGATGAATAAGAAAAAACACAATGCTATTTTGGCGACAAAATTAAATTGAAACACTGTGACGAACATTAATAATCTAAAAAAGTCGTGTTTTTCATTTTCCAATCTTCATTTCGGAGTACGAACAGGTTTGAGACGAAGGTACACGGATTGTACTCGTTGCACAGTCTGCTTTATTCAACTGTCCATCTTGACAGACAGTCAGAGGTGGGTGATGTGAATGGAAAGCCTTGATATGTATCTCTAGTTACTGACTCATACACAAATGTTTATCATGGCAGCAAGGACTCATCGATTTTGTGTTAAATGATTTTTAAAGGACCATAAAAATATAATTCCTCAATTTCCAATGTTCACACGAGGCTAGTGTTTCCTGTTTACCTTCATCCCTTCGACTGTGTGCTTTCTAATTATTCTGCTATTATTGAGCCTGGACCTGAGCTTGTAAAAAGCCCTCTATCAAACCTATGGAGCATCAAATCTGTAGCTGTACCTACTGGAACATTGTCTGTAAAGTTCGTGTGGGACCAGTTGTACTTCATTTTGTTTACTGTCTCATATTGTTGCTATCATGTCACTTAATCAGCACCTATGCCCACTCTGCATGTTTTATGCAGCCTTTTCAAAGTAAAGTGCATAAAGCAACTCTCGATTGTTTCCAAGCAAACTCAAATCCTCTTCATGTGTCCTTCACTTCACATCTTTGCACCATCGTATGTTGTTTAACATCGGCTCTTGCTGAGAAACTCTCTCCTATGAGAAGAGTTTTTAAATCCTGACGAACAAAAACATAAAAAGACATTTTATAAGAAGACAAAATTCATTCATTAACTGCAAACCTTTACATTAGAGGGTATTGATATTTGCTGAGTTAATATGAAACCATAGATCTGTTCATGGCAAATGTCAGATGATGCTTCTCTGTGTGTGGAAGACAATCAAGAAATAAGGTTAAGTCAGTGTCTGATTTCTCTTTTACACAATTCACATTATGACTGACCAAACACCAATGCTTTGCCACAAATAATAGATCACAGCGGGCAGAGATGAGACGTTTTTGAATATGATCCTAAAATAACCTCACTCTGTGTCTGTGTTTTGACTTGTTGCTCTCAGTTAAGGTAGTTACTTATTAGGACGTGACCAAACACATCCCTCTCTGCTGAGAGCAGGTATGTGTCACTGACCTCTAAATGCTATCACAGCCGCAATACCCTTAGCATTCTGGGAAATTTTGGTGACATCCAAATCAAAGGGATACATATGTTTAAATCTTGTTTTTCTTTTGAAAAAAAAACAGTTTAAATTGATTGACATGCAGCAGATAGTCACTGATTATTCAAAAGTGTTGTTAAGAACATGAGTGTGGAGTTATTTCCTTGAAGAATGAGCACACACAGTTTGCAGGTATTAAGCTCAGGACAAAAGAAAACTCCTCATAATAAAGCAGATTTCATGGCATAAGTAAAGGTTTGATATTTGAATAATACGTTTATATGCACTTTATAGACGAGAGTTCGATAAAAGGACAGAAGCCACTTTCATATCTGCACAATAACAATGAAGTTACTGCGGCTGCTGGTTAAAGCACAAAGGATTCTCCCCAGATTGTAATGATAGAAGTCTGGTTCATCACTGGCTAAGAAATAGTCTGATTCATAAACCCTGATACAGCAACATGTTGTTTTTACATATATATGCTAAGCTTAAGTAACAACCACTGGCAGCATCTCCATATGTATTGTACAGACGTGGGAATTTATCTCATCTTAGCTTGAAAGCAATTATATTTGTAAAAAGTGTCAAACTTTTCCTGTAACAACTAGAATGGCACTCAGTAACAATCCCTTTAAATTCAAATGAGCTGCTTTAAACCTAACACACTCCCAGATATCAGTTCCCTCAATATGCCTGATTCTTTTCCGTTTGTTATTTCCTGTTGACAACAAACAAACAGCAGAGTGGACCGAAACAGAACATCCTTGGCAGAGATATGAAACTATCCATGTGTGTGTGTGTGTGTGTGTGCGTGTGCGTGTGTGTGTGTCAGTGGCCCTGAAGGTTAACTTGAATCCCATCTGTGGTGCTGTAAATCCATCTGCCTTTAGCCACCCTCTGAGTGGGTTTCTGATGGAGAACATGCTTTGTCAGTGGCCCACTCACATTCCACATATGTTAACCACAGAAACTCAGAGAGAACACTAACACAGAGCTGACCCATTCACACACAAACCGCTGCTGCATGGCTGGATGAGGTGAAGGGGTCCGTTTCTATACATTGGGGCCGATAAACAATAAGGAGCATTTTATAAAAAGACATAACTGAATATATATATAAAGAACAATATAGAATTTGTTTCACTCAACATTTGATATCTCATATTTGACTTTTTTTTTTTTTTTTTACCACATATGGATAAATAGTTTCTATGTCAGTTATTTCTCTGACTTCTTTAGAAAGTATTTTCAGAACACTGTCATAGCCAATGACTTCTGAAGAAACTAATTAGAATTGAAAAACAAGTTCTTAAGAAATGACACGCACACGCACACACACACACAAACCCATTGTCAGACCAAGCGAACTGAGCTCTGCACATAAACTTGTGTGCTGCTGTGTCGACCATAAAAGAGTCATTCAACCCAAGTGTGTTTACAGTCTTTGGGTTATTGGAGCAGATATAACATCTATGGGTCAATCCCACTGTGGTTCTCTTGGTAACCTATGAAGTGAAAGTCCTCATGCCGCCTAATTTTACTGTATGACTGCTAACCCTTCCTATTTTAGTTTCTTTATGATCAGACTTCATGATTCCACACGTCATCACGTGAATCTTGTAGTAAAGCAGCTACAGTCAGACACAGCTCAGGTGAGCAGATGTTGTGTTTTATACAGGGGGCGAATGTTCAGCTGGACAAATATTAACTTATACTATATAAGTATTGATTGCCATTAGGCCTATGTGTTGTCATGGGAATGGATTTTATATCCGAGATGCAGGAATGATGACTAAAATGGTGGAGGAAGAATATTAAGATGTTTTTTTACGTAAAATTAAACTTGAAATATTACAAATTTAAAACCTGCATTCCAAGATAAATATATTACGTTTTAGCAGCGAGTGCAAATATTCATATTTAGCTTGTGTTTAAGTGCATGGATTTTAATGTGGCTGCAGAGCTGTGTGAACTGTTGCCTCAATAACTTTAGTATTTCAGCAATATAAGGAGCTCATCATACACAAGTCAATAAGCAGATATTGGTGAGATTCTGTGGAAGCAAACAGTGGCACAAATGTAATATGCTCCAACACTCCCTTACAGAGCTGCGCTGGTAGTGAAAGTAACTCACTGTGGGGACTTTCTCTGGGCGGCACTTTTGTCTATTCAGCTCTTTGACTTCCCATTTCATCCACGGACCGTGCGTAAACTCCTCTCCATGTCTCCTGCGCACGATGGTGACTGTGTTTGCAGCGCAGCCATGGACTCCGACACCACTTCCACACACACACACAGCGTGTGTAATGGTCTAATGTGTCCCGACTGAACGAGCAGAGCCAGAGAAAAGACGAAGGAGCGAGAAGAACAACCACTCAGATCTCTGCTGAAAAGTAAAACCGCCTAAATTAGACGATTTCCTTCTGTGGCAACGGAATTTGCAGTTCCTGCTCTTTTTTTGAGATCCTGTCGGGGTGAGTGGCAGAAGTGTTGGTGTAACTTGGTTCTTAAAGTAACAGGGTGAGAAATAGTGGCGGAGAATAATCGCCTCTGTTGTTCAGGTTGTGTAGAACCAGATGTTGAGAAGTTTGGAAAAGCGCACAGATGTGGATCAACAGTGAATCCTCGTTAAAACTTTAAACTTTAAGACCAACGGTGCAGAACAATAACAGGTGCAGATACTGCAGAACTATTTTGGTTTACCACCATAGCCTATTTATAAATGTATGTCACTTTACAACTGTTAAAGAACTGCGTGAAATTCGTTTTATAGCTATACTTCAATATACACGTATAGAGCAGTGGCGGATCAATACATTTTTTTGATCACTGGCCATAAATGTTCAACATCATGGACAATTCCTGATTCAGTAAGATGCTCATTTCACTCATTCCTTGTTGTTCTATTGAGTATATATTTGGAAATTGTGTGTTTTGTTGTTGTTTTTTTTTTAAAAAAGCTTGGAAAATAAAAATTCTTAACAAACGTGATTATCATAGTGAGTAAGATTTAGGTGAATGGGATCTACTGGCAGAAATTGAATATAAAACAAACTAGTGATGTTTTCACTAGTTTGTTTCATCTAAATTATAAGAATTGTTTTCTATCTTATCCTAGACTGGGCCCACACTGACGCTTCAATGTTAGCACAGCTACTTTAACACCGGTCAACCCCCCCACTAACATCTGGCGTTTGTCTTCAATGGGAATGGATACATTTACGTGTGTCCATTAATCTGAGACCACTGTGTTTGCAGATCTATTTTTCCTGTTCATTAACTCGATCAACTAAAGTCTATTTTTCTTCATGAATGCTGCAAATGTCTTCTCCTCTGCAGGTTTGGAGTCTCCTGGCTCCACTGAGGTCACGACATGGAAGCAGTCAACAGCAGACATGAGACACTCAACCAGTCGACTGTGTTCACCTCAGTCTTCAACTCGAGCTGCCGCTTTGACGAGGAGTTTAAATACATCCTGCTGCCCGTGTCCTACAGTCTGGTGTTTGTGGTCGGCTTTGTGCTCAATGCCGTGGCCTTGTGGATGTTCCTAAAGATGCGTCCGTGGAACCCCAGCACCGTGTACATGTTCCACCTCGCCCTGTCCGACTTCCTGTACGTCCTCTCCCTGCCCACCCTCATCTACTACTACGCCAACCGCAGTCACTGGCCCTTCGGGGTGGCCGCCTGCAAAATAGTGCGCTTCCTCTTCTACGCTAACCTCTACAGCAGCATCCTCTTCCTCACGTGCATCAGCGTGCACCGTTACCTGGGCATCTGCCACCCCATCAAGGCGCTGACTCTGGTGAAGTCTCGCCACGCCCATATTGTGTGCGGGATGGTGTGGTGCGTGGTGACTGTGTGCTTGGTGCCCAAGCTCATTTTCGTCACCACGTCCACGAGGGACAACGACACCCTGTGCCATGACACCACCAACCAGCAGGCCTTTGAGGAGTATGTGGACTACAGCTCTGTTGTCATGGTGCTCCTGTTTGGCGTCCCGTTCATGGTCATAGTGGTGTGTTACTGCCTGATGGCGCGGACGCTGTGCCGGCCCAGACGTGGATTATCTGGCAGCCAGCAAAGCAACGCCTCACGTCAGAAATCCATCAAGCTCATCATAGTGGTGCTGGTGGTCTTCGCTGTGAGCTTCGTCCCTTTTCACATCACGCGGACCCTCTACTACACCTCCCGCGTGTTAAATCTGAACTGCAGATTCCTCAACATCGTCAACTTCACTTACAAGATCACCAGGCCGCTGGCCAGTGTCAACAGCTGCATTGACCCCATCCTGTATTTCCTGGCTGGGGATCACTACCGCTCCAAAATGCTGTCCGTCCTGATGAGAAAGAAACGGACGACGAACAGCCAAACACCCGAACAGCAGCAGAACAGTAACCACGGCGTTGCTCTGGCCTATTGTCCCTCAGCCCTTAAATCTACAGGAGAGGTGGAGAAATGCTGATAAATCTGTTGCAGAAATTTAAAGTACAAAACGTTTCTAACGCCACATTCAGGAGCACCTGTTGATTTTTGCACTGAGAGGTCTGGAACTACTTTTGAAGTAGAATGTACTTCCAGTTTTTCTCCTAAATATTTCAGTATTTGTGTTCATAAAGATCACATTTCACCTCCACTCACCTTCCATTATGTTTTTAAAATGAATTTGGTACCTTTCGGTAAACTCAGTATTCAGACAGTATTCACACTGTCCAGTGAAATGGTGCCTGTGCAGAGAAAAGCTGGGGGAATAATCAATGAAGCAGTTTTCAGACATTCTTTGGGAGAATGTTCGCAGGATTGGGTTCGGTCTTTCACACATGAACGCAACAGGAGACTCTCCGCTCAGACAATTTCCTGAGATTCTCTGGAGTTCAGTGCTCGTCCGAAAGCAGCTTGAGACTCTTGAATATTTTGGCACAGGTGGTCACATGTGCCTTTAAGTAAATTTCGAACAATAAATTTCTATGCCACACGTTGATCTAAATATTAAAGTTACATGAGATAAAAAAGGACAGATGCTGGCTCTCATCTCAGAAATTGAGAAAGTTATGATGAGACAATCCTTCCTGTTTGTATCAGCGGCGTCTGTGTGTTACTCAGAAACTGCCGCTCCTCTGCAGCTGTTTTTGTCCTTCAGTGTTCACAGCTGATGCCTCAACTCAACCATGAAGAAAAGCATTTTTCTTTCAAACCACCCATGCCTCATTAGAGGAATAAGGGATTTTCCTTTCCCCCTTTTTACCTCTGGGGTAGATACATGGAATTTAAAGGCCTTTTTCTATCAGAAATCAAAAACTGAACGCCTTGATAGTTTTGCAGGATGTGACAATGATTCAAGAGAGAGTGACCACATGAGTTACTGTGGTTGTTGTATGTCACGTACAATGAACTGATAAGACAGTGACACTGTTTGTGAGCTCATGGAAGTCGAATGTTCATCCTCATTAAAAGAGAAATGGATTTATATGAGTTGCTGTGAAACAAAATGTAATTTCTCTTAACAACTGTCAAGGGTCCACCTGCTGACACCTGAGCAGCTGCAGTTCAGGTGGTGTGTCTAAAGTGAAAGCAGAGTTATGCTCCTCGAGATCCTGGCACAGACGTCTGTTTTCTGGATCAGGGTGTTGACTAAATAAATACTGCAACAATGATGAAACTGTTTTACGCGAACCAGATAAGGAGGAGCACAGTTAAAATACCGAAAGTATTCCCACACTGTGTGAACCATCTTATCTGTGTTCTGTGTCTGCTTATTCCAGTGCGTGAAGCGACGATCAAACATTGCAGTGCTGCACATCTGAATAGTTCCCATGGTGAAATGTCTTTAGAGACGTTTGATTTTAAAATGATGTCCTGGGTCTTAAAGTTCAGACTGAATCCACAGACAGTTTGGTTGAGACGTGTAAAACTTCCTGCAGGAGTCACAGTTCAAATGGAATTTTATTTTGTAATTTACAAACTATGGGTCATCAGAAACAGATGCTCAAGACATCTCATGACTCTTATCTGGAGAGTTGCTTTCATAACCAGTACTGTACGAAATGTATCATTTATCTTTAGGCTACTTTACTAAAGTAGATCTATTTTATTTGGGGTACTTTTCACCTTTACCTGATTACATATATCAGCAAATATCCGTACTTCCTCCTCCTCTACATTTTTACTCTGCACTGTGTTACATTTTTGAAAATTAATCAATAACGAGAGGGGCATCGATTGACTGATCAGCTCAGAGTGGGCAGGTCACGACGGCAGCAGCATCATCACTGATGGAGAAAAGGATTCAGGAGAGGCCATCACCAAGATTTAGCTTTTAATGAATGTGACAGTGAAAGTGTTTGCAGTGCCACCATCTGCAGAATTCTTTATGAATATGACAGGGTCTGTATTATTCTTGTACTAAACAAAATAGGCGGTTTCACCAGGGGAGATACTGCACTTAGCAAGTACTTTTACTTTTAATTTGTTAATGTACTGGTACTTACTGACTTTTACTCAAGTAGAAAATTCAGTGTGGTACTTAAACTTTTACTTGAGTAAATGTTTGTCTGTTTCTTTCCACAAATAGAAGTGACCACTGATCATTAAGAGGAATGTGATGAATGTTTCAAACAGCTCTGTTCTTCAGCTCTTCACCTCTCTCTGGATGTTTCCCGTGTCACTCCTCCATTCAGTCTATGGATATAACCTCACTAGCGCCTCCCTGTGGTCTCTTGTAGAACAGAAACCTGTAGGCTGTCCTCTTTGAGTACTCACTGATTTAGACGAAGTAAGGAAATAGATCAGAACATTTGAAAAATGCAAAAATAAATAAATAAATAAATAAAGTGGATATCTCTGTAGTTTGACTCAAGTGTCTGGTCACATGTCAGTGGAGTATTTCTTCCCCTGGTGATGTCTGGCAGGTAAACAGGAAGCGATCACCTGCACACGACCCGGAAGCACGGTGCAATGTCCCGGATTAAGAAAGCGCAAATGTGCCGACAGCGCGCCAAGTGCTACACAAATGTTTACTTACAATTAAAGCCTTTGTTCGATTAAACACACATGCAGAACATAGACCCGGAAGCAATTTACGACCCAGTGCATTGGAAGAAAAACACGTGTATAAACCAAACCCCTTTATTTTGCCTCAGATTACAGGTGAGTCCAGCATCTGATTTCTTGGTGAAACTAGTAATTGTTTCTTAGTTAGTTACGGCTCTAGCGTCAGAAATGTATTAAAACATTTTAAAATCAGTGGAATCTTATTATTACAAAGCACAAGTCACTGTTTGTGTTGTTGTTATTGTTGGTCCCTGGTGCATCAGAGATAGTTCTGCACCATGTCACTTTGTGTTGTTGATACAATAGAACTGAGCTGAAAGGATTTTCATGATTTTAAAGATGAGCTTCATATTCCTCAGGGCTCTGAAAATTCCACCTCTGTAGCTTTTGTGACACAGTTTAATAACTGTTGAGATAAAATGTAAAAATAAAATTCACGACCAACATGATTGAAATGTGAATCTGCAGTAAATAAATTATTTTCACCAGCTACATTATGTCAGAGAATTAAATCTATGACCTATTGAACAGAAGACATGTGAGTCTAACTCTGTTGCTCTTTAGGAGGTCAAATATTCTTCCAAATGATTTAAATGATCTGACAGGAAATGTTAACGTGTGTGTGTTGATCTAAAGAAAGATAATTGTTGTCTTGTTTTATTATTACAATAATAAGAAGGCCTATAAATAATAAATGAACAATGTATAATAATGTACTTCCAGGGAAATACTCACCAAATGATGTATTAATTACTCAATATTGTTAAATAATTGATATGAAACAGTAATATAGAGATGTGTGTTTAGTTAAAGAATAACGATAATGTTCATGTTAAATTAGGTTTTCTTTTAGGTTTAATATTAATCATAATACAAATTCTAGAGTTTTTCATTAGCAGGGTTCTTTATTTAAATTCAGAATATTTACTTGGACTGTGTCAAAACAGGAAGAAGTCCCAAATTATAGCGAAAACTAATTTTAGAAAAACACTTAAAAAAATTCACCATTAATGAAACATTCTTAAATAAATCACATTAAATAATTTTAGCCAATCAAAATAACATTTACCATATATTTCAACCAGCTGCAGCATTTCAGTAAAAAAAAAAAAAGTTATAAATAAAGTTTGGTTTTTGTTCTTACATAAATATTAATGTCTAACCCTGCAGTGAAGCATGTTGTAGACCTCTGACACATTCGGCTTCATGCATCCATTGTTACTGAATGTGACAGCTCGTCCTTATCTATTGCTTGTTGCCTCTTAACTTTTAAAGACTTTTGACAAGCTGTCCGTCAGCTTGAAGTCTTCCCCTAGCAGCTAAAGCGACTTCATGTTGATTGACACAAAGGCCTGACATTTGCACATTTTGGAGTGCAGGACAATGGCTTCTTTTTTTTTTCATTTAAAATTGAAAAACCACCAGAATGCCAAAATGTTGAACTGCATTTGCAACTGAATATTATGCACTTGAGAAACAGATTTTGTATCTGATTTATAAATGTGTTTCAGAGTTTTCTTTTCTATCTGGAGAATCAATACTGGTTTTCTGAGAGAAAAATGTGATGATCATCTCTCAAAAACATGACATATTACTGTCGAACCGGAGTCGAGGGAAAGATCTTAAATCCTTCCATAACCATGAAAAGTACACTTTAAAATCCATTACAATAAACTTCTAATTAGGAGGAGATATTAATAAATGAAAAAGAAAAATACTGTATTGATTGTGACATCCTCCTACGCCTCAGCCTAAAGCGATGCATTTGTCGAGCCTTGAACATTTCTCTCTGTTTTTCTCTTGTTTAGCAAATTATAAGGCAGAGACGAGGGATTTCAAGGACGCGTGGACTTCATTTTAATCGAAGAGGCTGAGAGTGGAGTGGAAGAGTGACACACAGAGGAGAGAAGTTCATTATTCCGCTGAAAAGGAAACCAATGGCTTTCACAGTCGCCATGGTAACTGGCCTTTCTCTTGCCGTCAGACCAATGATAAGGTACTTCACAGCATTAAGCACAATTATTGCAAGGTAAAAGGGGAAATATTGCTTTCCAAATGCTAATAGATGTTAGATATTGATTGGCATGGCGATTCGTATAGAAGTCTGCCCCGACTGTTTCACCTGCCTGACTCTCTGCAAACGTTAATGAAATGTGATGGAGGTTATGCTTGATGGGCCTTTGTGGCACAGTGGGCTTCAGCTGCACTTGCATCTTTACTTCACTTGAAGGTAAGAAGAATAAAACCCAACACTTTACTAGAAACAGCAAGAAAATGAAGAGAGATCGTATGAAACGGTGATAAAGTCAGAAAACTGTGAATGTTTACTTTATTTATATTTACTTTATCAAAGGAGAGAAATATTGAACGGCGGCAAGTTTTCCCCGGCTCCGTTGGTGCAAAATGTCTCATAACATAACTACTAAACACCCGCTGCTTCCCATCATTAGCATGTCATTCTGTTGTCAAGTGACCCTGCTCGTGCTCGCACACAAAGGCGGGTCGGCCTTGGCAGCGGCGAGGTCAGCGCCAAGCACAAGTGCAGGCCATGGGGGGTCGGTTGGTTGGTGGCAGCCTGCTTAGCTGGTGAGAGGATGGAGGATTAGCACGGTGGAAAGCATGGAAGCTGCTGTGTGCGTGTGTGTGTGTGGACGGATAGGGTGTTGGTGGGGAGGGGGCAAATTGTTTTAACCCCTATTACAGCAACTGCGTGGCGCTCCTCTTATCTAGGCTGCTGCAGCCTCTCATTAATATTCCGTACATATGGCAGTGCTTTCTGTATCATTGTCTATTAATGGGAGGGATAATCGCTCATTCAATTATCAGGCAGTCAGCAAAAGACCAACCGTGCCTGCACACCCCTGGTTCACACAGTGGCACGGCCCAAAACAGAGGTGTGCCAGCGAGAAGGTGAGAGCGATAGCGAGGGATTACACCATATTAGCTACTTTAATAAGTCAGGCCCCGGGAATAATGTGGAGCAAATAGGGCTCTGTTGGCGAACAAGAAACATGCCTGACGAGGGCAACTTCTGAAACCTTGCTGTTTGACTTAAAAGTCACGCCGTGGGCTGTGATCCACCCGGTGGCTTCAGAATGAGTTTCTTGTTTTTTTTTAACCCTGACTCTGCTCCACTGAAGGGGAGAAGACCTGTGGTCAGAAAAGGCCGATGATAGCTCTGCGATAGACTGAATGAAGCTTGACCCTGATGTCTGCAGGCCAAAGATCTGTGAAGTGATCAAATGTAGCATTTGTCTCCGCTGATCTGCGCTTTGTGGCCCCGGGACCCGACGCTGTCTGTCTCCCTGCTGCCGGGGGCCGTGGTGTGGATATGACAGGGTTACTGATAATAGAGTGACCTCTGGCTGTTGTGACCCGGGGAGACCTTGTTGAGTCAACACGAGCTCACGCACTGAAAGAGGGAGAGGAGGAAAGAGGGAGAGTTGGAGCGAGGTTGTTTAGTTACCGAGAGTTTCTTTAGGAGGTGTGCCGGGAGATGGGAGTGCAGAGCTGTTGCAAGCAGGGTTGTTTTGAGGAAGTGTGAAAAAGATAGGAGGTGAAATGTTAACAAAATCTTATAAAATCCGTAGTTTGATAAATTTTCGCATTTCGAATGAACCAGAGGCGGCTGTGGCTGTGGAGTGCCTTTGTTGGAGGTCCCATTTTCTCTGGGAGAGCAGCACGCTCACAGGGTCAGCGAAGTTACGAAAGTAATTAAAGCCTGGTGATTCACCGCCTGCTGCAGAGAAAAGAAAGCAAGCTGTCATTCTGATTTAGAAAAATAAATTACAATTTTAATAATGGGGGAGGATGGGGGCGCGAGAATGTCTAGAGCCTCGGCGGGCTGGGGGGGGGGGCCGGGGTGGGCATGTTGGGTGGGAGGAGGGGTCGAAGGGGTTGCTGGCTGCCTACTTATCAATAGTTGCAATTTTTTGAAACCGCATCGGTAGTACATTGCGAGAGCACAAGTGCCCTTAAAAAAAGAAAACCCTGGAACATTAACATACTGATTTCATGCGCATGGCAAAGGGCCTGAGCCAATATCAGAGAGGACTCAGCAGTCCTATTGTCTGCTGGGACTCTGGTCCCCTCTGATATGAAAATTCAATTATTTTATAACTAGATCTGGCGCTTCGTTTTGACAGTCGACGGTAGCGCCTTGCCAGCTGCATCAGTGTGGGGGACCAGAGGCTCCTGATAGCGAGAGGGAGGCCTTTCAGACACTGACATGTTTTTGGGGGACAAGATTGCCTAAATGTGTTGCATTTAAGGACTGAAAGTTAATCTAATGCACCACCATTATCTCACTCAGGTAATTCCAATAGCATCCTCAATCTATGTTTACGCTCATGCACGCACCCGCATACCCGCGCACCCATTCATTCTTCAGCACTTTGAATCTGATTCCCAGGCTTTCTGCATCCAAACAGGTAATGTATTTATTTATTTCTCGGCGGTGCACATTCTCCAGGAGCTGGAAACTATATGAAATAGAAGTTGTTTCTAAGAGACATCAGCAGTTTCTAAGTCATAATTCTGCAGGAAGACATACAGGGGGAAAAAACTCACCCACTATGAAATGTTTCTCTGGTGTCAATAATCTTTTGTTAAAAAAAGAACAGTTTTCCTTGTACTTTTATACTTGACCATTGCTCCCCCCCCGACCACCCCAAAATAAACTTCACATACATTGTCTGCGTTGAAACACTAAATAATTTGGTTGTTGGTTTGTCTTATATATCATTAAATTCAGAATTTGAAAACTTGAAACTTTTGCGGTGGTTCCCCCCCGAGGACACACACTTGCCTATTTCCTGAGGTTATGAAACAAATCCTTTCATTACCTCTGTGGCTCATTGTGTGTGTTCCGGGAGGTGTGTGTGTGTGTGTGTGGGGGGGGGGGGGTCTGTCAAGATTAGGGAACAGGAAGCAGCCCCCTGGTATGGCCCTCTCTAGTCAGACCCCACCGCGTTGTGCTTATTAACCCAGCCTGGGACAAGATGTACCTGCCTCCCCTCATTAGGCCGCGGTGGAGTACACGCTCAGCCCGCAGAAGAATGGAAAATTAATTAGTATTCTCCGCAGGGGGAACTGCCATTAGCACTTAATTAGCAGTAGGAGTACCATTCATTCAGGCGGCCAGTATGACACACAATATACTCATACAGCATGTTGTGTGTCTTTTCTCCATGTGTGGTGGTTAAAGCTCTGGAGAACGACCGCGCTGAAGTGCGGCCATATATTTTATTTAAAGTTTCCTTATATGGGCTTTTTCTTTTCTATGCACCTCTTAAGACCAAAGATCGACTTGCTTCAAGGTTTATTCCTGCAGGGTGTTTTTGACTGAGCTGCACAAACTGGTTTTAAGGCAGAGTGAGGGCCTGTGTTCCCATGTCAGCACGCCTCTGTCCTTATCTCGATGAGATTCACCTCCGTGTGCTCCCCTCCCGCTGCTGGTGAACTCTAGGAGGCAAACGCCATATTCTCATCTGCCCGTGCCGCTTGGCCCGGGGAGGTAAAGTGGGTGATTAGGGGATTGAGGTCAACTTTCCTCCTTTGGACTGAGGGGAAGTTTCTTTGATGTGCTGAGTAGGCATTCTTCCCCTCCTTTCTCTGTGTTCTCTGTCCAGCGCCGTTGCAGCCGAAGAGGACAAGGGAGGCTGTTAACCCACCTTGGTCCACTTCGCTGTCCCTCACTGGCCCTCGCACTCCCTCCCCTGTACTTACCCCTCCTCCCCCACCGGCAGCATTTTTTGGGGAGGCTCGGGCGGATGGTGGCGGTGGCACCTTCCATTTCCCGAAATCTGAGAGGCGGAGAGCTGTCATTTGCCAATTTGGCCTGAATGGGGCGGACAGCGGATTGAATGTCGTTTTCCCACCAGGCTGCACCATCCAGACCAGCGGGAGGGAGGGGGACACAGGGAGCGGGGTGTAATGCTAGAGTAAAATTAGAACTTTGATGGCAGCTAATAGTGTTTGATGGGTGGCACTAACGTGGATTTTCAGTAAAGACGCCACAGGTTCCCTCTCTCGCCCCTTCTCCCCCCGTCTCCCCCCTCCCTCTCCTCTGTGACACACCTATAAGATTATGCGAGTCCTGCCTTCTTTCACAGAGCTGTAATTTCTTCCTGATCAATGTAATTATACATCTCAGTCTCCAGTTCTTATGTGAAACTGCATCAGTGACCGCCTTCTTCTCACACACTCACATATATAAACACAAATATATCCTGTACATTTACAAATATAAGCTTTGGAGCCAGTCACGATGCTGCAGAACAAGATTAACGTCTCCTCTCGTGCTCCAGTGCCAGGTTAAATGCAAACAGGCAAAGATTTATGTACAGATGTCTTCCACTTTACTTTAGACTATCTGCTGCACTCTAATTTTCCCGACGTTCTGTTTGAGCTGCCAGAGACACCAAGTTCTCTTCAGCAGCTCAAAAAACTAATTTCACATCGTTTGTTATGACATGTTTCAGATGTTTGCTGCAGAAAACAAAACTATTTTGTTTTCTTGTTATGAAATGTGGTTAAATCCAAATTATTTTCTTTAATGACTTTGCGTTTTGCACAGCAACACTCCTCTCCAATCCAAAATAACTGTGTTTCAGTCACGTAAGGATCGGGGATTGCGTCCTTGCAAGATGAAGGATGCAATCCACATCCTGATGGGTTGTACCTCGTTTCCCTCCTTCAGGGAACATTGTTTATATGCACGTCCTCCAGATTTGTGTTATTTTAGTTTTATAATAACTTTGTCAGAGAGTTTTCCAAAGTCTACAGGACCCGAAACATCAGATCTGTCAAAATGTAGGAAAACATCCTGAACCTTGTCTGTGAATGACTTTTTGGCAAATGTATTCACTGTAATAACAGTGCTTAATGGTTAAAAATCCATACACTGCCAATGTGTAAACTCAGTTTGTGGCTGAGGGAAGAGTTACCTCTTCAATACTTTCCACATTTTGGGTTTTGATAAGATTTGTAACAAGT